TCATTCTATTCTTTGCTTGTGGCTGACATTGTCTAGGTTTCATGGTCGTCGGAACACAATGATTGTGTTCCTCTATCGACCATCACCTCAAGTACCCGAGCCTTCTGTTGACGCTGCGCGCAAATGCTATGAAGCATCCGTTTTCAATGTCGCCATGCACAAAGAGCAGGTCGCTACTGGTTCTGTTGATTTGACATGGATCTTTACCCAGTCGCTTTTTATGGCCCTGAACACCATACTTTGGTCCCTTTCTTACCCGGATATCCGGAGAGAACACCCGATCGACGAAGTGAAAGCCCACCTCAACGTAGCATTGGAGGTCATCGTACATGCAGCGAAGCGGTGGCCAGGAGTCGAATCCGCATTGGTCTTATACAAGAGCTTGGTGGCAGCTTGCCTTAGAGCCTACGCTACTCAGGAGTCTTTCGTGGTACACTCGCCATCCAACCATGCGACCCCATCTTCGCAAGAAGTTGCGACGCCACCGTCTGTTGCAAGTCCGGCGAGCACCTCGACGTCTCTCCTTTCACACAATCTTCGAGCCGGCAACTCTTCCATTCCCGACACGAGTACTTCTCCAGGCACATATTCTCGGGGCCCTTCGGCAGACCCATCCTTTCCTTATCCCCACGTGCCATCCACTGGATCGTCCTCGATCATGCCGATTGTGGAGCCAATGAAAGCAACCCACATATCGTCCTGGGATAGCCAGTTTACTCCTTCCCTTGTCTCTTCCTCCTCACAGGCCTCTTTCAGCCCGCTTTCATACAGAACGGCCTCATATGCAGATATGACATTCGACCCATCGACTCCCTACAACCATATGCCATCTATTGTCCCTGGCCTGCCCGGTTGGGATCCCAGCTTCAGCATGGCGTCCACAAGTGCAGGTCATCTGGCCTATGTCGATGCCACCGTGGATCCGATGAACTGGACTGACACGATCGGCGATCAATACTCCCAGTACTTCAATGGGGCATATCCTGTCCCCTCCTGGCGAGAACGAACGCTCAGCCACCAGGAGCAATTAGAACTCATGGAGACGCTAGAGGACAACATTCCGGACGTCTCTGCTCAACGACTGGTCCAGGCGTCAGCCACATTTTACCAGTCGTAATCTACGGATTTCGTTTTGTTTCCAGCATTGGCTCTATTTTTCCTTCGCTACTCACAGGTCTGGCCAATTGTGGGGTGTGGGAATTCATTGTTTTAATGTGGTTGCTATTTCTGCGTCGCATTTCTTTTTGTCTTTGTCTGTCATTCAATATACCCATGGGAAGCCAATGGGCTTCGTCTCTGGTGTTTGGAGCAACGCTTTTGCCAGCACTACTTCAGGAAACAAAAGATTCTTCTTCATGCTGAAATTCGGCATTGTTTTTGGCCGGTTGCACTGTGGAGATGCACGGTGGCGGTTCTTGTGTGTCTAGCGAACTAAAATGCGGAGGCACTTAGTTTGTAATAAATGACCCTCACTCATCAAAAAACGGTTTTCTGAAGGAGATTCGCCACTTCAGGATAGGCGTGCGAATCGATCTAACAGTGTAGTATGAGAAATGTCATGAGCTGATGAGAGAGGCTCATGGAGACGGCTGACGGGAGGAATTCAGTAGCATATTGGCTTATCAATGGAGAGAAGCAGTCCTCATTCGTTGGTGGTTGAAAGCGACTCAAGTTCCTTGCAATAATTAGAGTACTGTATGTACTGTACCCCGAGAGGAGAGGGAGGGCCGGAGGGGCGTATTCACCTGTGTTTCGGCCCGTTACACTTGAAAGGTAAAATGGTAATGTATCGGTATCGGTGGTGTATTAGTATTAGTACCAGTACCAGCGCAGTACGGGTACTGGTAGTGCCGCGGAAAATACGCCTGAAAGGGAAGAATAGCAGTTGCGGCCCTGAGCAGTAACTTACATAGCAGTAACTTCGTAACTTACGGAGTCGCAGCTGTCGAGAAAATGAGGGCGTAGATCACGTGCCCGCCGTCATTCAACATCTCGCCGTCCGTTTCTCCTCCAGTTGCGGATCAAAGGGCTTCTTCCCTTCCCCCATCGCCTTTCTTCATTTCACCCACCCCCCCCCACCGACTGTTTTTACTACCGCATATCATCACACCGCCAACCGCCTTTCCCATCATACGCTTGATCACCACATTCATCTGTGGAACTCGTTTTTCGCCCGCCATCGCCACGGTTCCCCTCGATTCATTGGAATGCGTGACTACTAGACGGTCGTGGAACGTCTTGCTCGGCCCGCTTGAGCGCACCTCGACCGGCGTGATCTGCCAACCTCCCCCCTCTCCCCCTCTTCTGTCCTTCACCCTGGACAGTCGACCTTAGAGCCACCGAAATCAGGTCCTGAGTTCCGAACATCATCGATATACACCTACCTCAGCCGATTTCGAGCCGCGGGCTGCTCGGGCTTTGGCCGACCTCCTCCTTCTCTCATTCTTCTCTTCCCGCACTCCCATGTCGGATCGCGCCTCCTCGGCATCATTTCGAGTAGGACCTCCTTCACCAGCATCTCCCGCTCCCGAGTCTCTCAAGGAGACTCCACAATTTCCAACGATCTCCTCCGATCAGATTCCTCAGACCCCGACATCACCTCCGTTGATGTCGGTAAGCGCTCATAATTATGCCACCCACTTCGTACCCTCGCAAACCTCACCTAGCCAGACGACCTCACAATCCACCAGTCTTTCATCCCCTCCGTCCTCTGCTCCGATGTCAAATCAGCCATCACAACAGCCGGTGGTAGGCGGGTCGGCAAACTCGTTCCCTACCCCCGCCAGCAGCGTGAGCGGACATATACCCGGCACGACTTCATTTGACGAACCTGATGCTCCAGCTAAGTTACTGGGGTCAGGGCCCTCAGAAGGAGGCGCTACCTCTACTGGTGGAGCGTTTGCGACCACCCAGAGAGCCGAACACAGACGGACAGATCATGACCGGCAGCCAGGAGGAGATTCGGAGGGCGTAGTCCGTGATCAAACCGCCACGGGATTACCCGTTCACAGTGATGCGATGGACATTGACAGAGAGGTGCCAGGCTCTTCTGATGGCAGCATGAGCCTTGAGTCGTTGCAACACGACTTTTCCTCGGCATTTCATCTCTGCAAAAGCTGTAAGAGTTTCCCCCAGTCCAGTCCCTAATCAAGCTGTTGCCGCTGCAGTTCGTAATGCCATTTGTCCCTGCAATCGTCCATTGTTGAGAATTGAAATTGGTTAACACAAGTGGCTTTCATGAATCCCACAGCCTACACTGCGACTGGTCCGGATCCGTCACTGGATTTGATTTCCTTGTACGGGCTAGGCCCCGTTGCAAAATCGGTCGCAAGAATGGATCCGGTGACAGGAGAGAAAATCAATCGGCTCCGGAAGTCTTACGAAGGCAAGCTCAAGGGGCTGGGACTTGCGGGGCGGAATAAACCTGTGAAGCATGAGCCTGGCGCACCCGGTGGACTGATACATATGACCATGTGGCCCGAAGAGGAATGGCAGAACCAGAAGGTGTTTGGCAAGGAGATGAAGGTGGCTGATATGGACTCTGCGTTGCACGCGCTCCAAATGAAGGCTATGAAGATGGAGCCCGGTGCGGTCCCCAACAGCGAACAATGGGAAGATGTTTTGGGTCACGAAAAACCGTCCAAGCATGCTGGCGGCGGCGGTGATGCAGGCAAGAAGGCCGTTGCACCTCCGAATGGAGCTCGAATGCAAGCGAATGGGACTCCTGGGCCGGGTATCTCAGACGCGGAACGGAGTCGACCCAGCCGGGGGCGCAAACGGCATTACGACGACAATAGCTTTGTCGGATACGGCGAAGGCTACGCAGATGATGATGATGATGGCGCATTCTACTCTGCTAGCGATGGCATAGGAAAGAAGAAACGGAAGAAGGTAGGGCCTTCGGGTGATGATGGTGCTTTGGGCTTCTGACATACTGATTGCTTTTCTCTTCACTGCATAAAGGACCATGCTTCGAAGATATCTACCCCTCTGCCTGACCGCAGTGGAAGTTACGGGGTAGGTATGTTTGGGATCGGGGCCAGATAAAACGAGCAGCAACAGCGAGCGACACAGAAGCAAGCTTGTCGGGATGGCAACAAAAGCACAATTGGCTTGTTCGCAATTCTTTTCTTTTTCTTTTTTTGTTCCCTCTCTGCTTGACATGCATCGTTTCGAAAATTCTTTTTTAAAGGCGGGGGACTGGCAAGGGCTTCCTGAAAGGGGGCCGACATGTCGGATTCGGATTCGATGTGTCTGACTGTCCCTCGAGACTCTATCATTTCTCCGTACATTTTTGCATCACGGTGCTGGATATACCCGGCTTTAACAGTGGGACGGCGTTGAGGAGCCATTTTAATTTATCAGTTGTGGAAATGGTTTCTTATTTGACCTCTGCTTTTCTATTCTTCCCTGTTTCTATGCTATGTCTCTTTCACCCTCGAATGGTCAGTGGCTTCCCCCATCCAAAGCTGTAATGACACAGTTGCACTGGCAGTCTTTGTTGCACTAATTGGTTTGTTGGCCATCTCGATTCACTTTCGTGTCTTTTGGATCTGTTATTTTTATATCTTTACCGGGGCTTGCAGCTGTGACCCGACGACAGCCGTTCACAGCGCCTCAAGGCCGGAGTGTACTTTCATCTTGCGTTACGGGTCGGGGTGTGCTCTCGCCACGGCTTACGTGTTGACTGACCGTGCAGGTAGTCTTTTTTTTCTTTTCTGCTTGGCAGTCTGCTTAGGCATTTATCTACCCATGAATGCCGTGATACATTACTTACTACTATTAGATGGATAGGAATGAATAGGAATGGAATGACTTATACTGATGCACAGTGTTGATTTTTGGCTGAGTAGACTACTGTTACAGTACAAGATGCTGAAGACATCACCCGTAGATGTTTCAAGCTAACGCATGCCATGGATAGCCCTCATCCTTCTCCCACAACTACAGACCACCTCCTTCCCTCCCTCTTCATTCCACCCATAGCAAGGACGCGAGAATCATCGAAACCAATACCCACACAACCCCTCCACCGTCCGGCCCCCCAAATCCTGACACCGATTCTCCGCCCACACCGTCCCGCCCTCCCCGAACTGATTCGCCAGGTGGCCCAGAAAGAAGTCCAGGTTCTCGCGACACTGCGGGAACTCGTCCCGGAAGAAGTCGTACAGCTCCTGGACGCCCGGCGGGGTGGCCGCGAACGTCACCTTCTCGGCGAACACGTCCAGGTACCGGCGCGTGTGGGCCAGGTCCGCGGCGCCGTCCAGCGACCAGCCCGCCTCCAGGTGGCCCGGGATGAGCTTGGTGGGTTGCAGCAGGGCGAGAAGATCGAGGGTCTTGCGCCAGCTTTCGAGGAGGGCGGGGGTTTCAAGTTCTTCGACCCTTTTTTTTTTGGAGGTGTGGTTAGTTTGGGTGTTTGGGGAGGTTTATGGGGAGGTAGTGGTTGCTCTTCCGAAAGGGGGGGGGGGGCACGGATGTGAGATCGGCAAATATAGTGAGCTGTATATAGGTTCCGAGGTAGGATTGTTCAGTACAGTACAGCCAGCACCATGCTGTACCCCTCCGGAGGAGGAACCTAGGATCTCGGCAATGCAAACAAGAAAAAAAGAAAAAAAAGAAAAAAAAAAAAAAAAACCTACCAGACATGCGTACTCCTTCCATACACCGTATCCCCACAGACGACCGTCCGCTCCGTGGGCAACCAGAACACCGTGTGATCGACCGCATCGCCCTGCAGCGGTCCCAGCAGGACCACCGGACTCTCGGGGGCCGCTTCCAACAGGAAGAAGCTGAAGGGGAAAGGTTCGGGCTTCCGCGGCGCGGCCGGCACGTTCTCCGCGCCCAGCACGGAGGGCCAGTAGGCCACCTTCTCGGCGTACTCGCGCTCGATGCCGGCGAGGACGTAGGGTGCCGCGTAGAACTTGGCGGCCGGGTAGGCGTCGAGGATGGGGTTGGCGGAAAAGAAGTGGTCCGGGTGGTGGTGGGTGACGAAGATGGCCTTGAGGTCGGGTTGCGGGCCCCCTGCGGCGGACGTGGTGGGGATCCAGGCGAGGACGGAGTGGGCGTCCGGGAGCAGGAACGGGGGGTCGATGAGGATGGCGGCGCCGGTGGTGGGGTCGGTGATTAGGGTGGTGAGGCTCGAGAGGCCTTTGGTCGAGGCGATGTGGTGGTGGGTTTCGAGCATCTCGTTTTTGTGGTGGTGGTGAGGATACGTAGCAGCTGGAGGTAAAGAAGGAGGCTGCAGTAAAGGACGTCGTACGTCAAGGTTCAGGGAACATCGTCCCCACGTACCGCCTTGTCTCTTTTTAAAGTGTTACCCCTCGTCTTTAGTGTATATCCGGATTCCCGGGACCAGCTGATGATTTCAAGGAACCACTGATCTACATACGTCGTGTGATCTCCGTGGATTCTTCAGCGGTGCAGCTGCAGAACCGAGCTCGGGAAATCCGCCTGTCATATCGCGACCCCCGGCTTCGGCTTCCCCACATATGACGAGGGAACACATGCAGATCCGTTCGTATACCGACGTATACCGAACCAGACTTGCGCGCATCATCTGCACAGACACAACCAAGGAAGACAAAGTATAACACGATTGACGCAGGATAAAGAGTTAAAGTCTGGCATCGCCCGCCCAGACAAGACACTGAGAAGGACCTACACGCCCAGCAGGTTCGAAGAAAATGGTTCGTTTTCACCCGGATAGTAGCCTCACAGCAGACTCATTGCGAAACAAAGTCATTTTGATCACGGGTGCGCTTGCCTCCGGACGAGCACCGGAAATATTATCCAAGGCAGACGCTAACCCAATCACAACCAGGAGGGGCCAATGGCATCGGCGCGAGTCTGGTGGAATACAGCTGCCAGCACGGGGCTTACGTCTGCGTTGGTGATGTCGCTGTCGCAGCTGGCACGAACCTCGTCGAGCGCGTATGCGCTGCATCGTCAACATCCACTCCCCCGAGAGCGATATTCCAAGAGGCCGACGTGACCGACTACCAGTCCATCCTCGATCTATTCGACGCCGCTTACAAGACCTACGGCCGCATCGACCACGTCGTCGCGGGGGCGGGAGTCCTGGAGATCGGAAACTGGTTCGACCCTGATCTCACGTTAGAGAGCGTGCGAGAGGTAAGATCGGAAGTAGACTACCTTCTCCCAGATCCGCTTGCGCTGACAGGGCACGAAAAACGCACAGACCCCCTCCACAACCGTCCTCGACGTCAACCTTCTCGGGACCCTCTATGTGGCTCGCCTCGCCGCCGTGTATCTGCTCCAGAACCGACCGTCGCACACCGACCGCTCCCTCACGCTCTTCTCCTCCGTCGCGGGCTTCAAGGAGACCCCAGGGATGTTCCTCTACCAGGCGACCAAGCACGGCGTCTTGGGGCTGATGCGCTCGCTGCGGCCATATCTCCCCGCCCCGGCGCACCAGCTGCGCGTCAATGCCGTTTGTCCGTGGATGACCGACACCGAGATGGTCAAGAACCTCCAGGAAGTCTGGAAGCAGGCTCAGCTACCGGTGAACTCTCCGTTGAGCGTGGCGACCATTGTAGCGGGCTTGATCACGGACCCGACCATCAATGGGAAGTCGATCTACGTCGAGGGGGGACGGGGATGGGAAATCGAGGACAATCTCGATCGCCTGGAGCCGGAGTGGTTGGGCGCGGAGCCATCGCGGTCATTGGCGCGGGGGCAGGAGTTTTTGGCACTTGGGAGTAAGTGGCAGTAAGCTTGATGTGGACTATGAATGGGTATTTGAGTATAACCCTACAGATCTAAGCTGTATGTACAGTACAGGCGAATCCCTCGCCTCAGAAAGTACCGTACTGTACAAAGAATCCATCTTTATCGATAAGGAAGGACAAAGCCCGCGTGCGTTATCGATAGCAGATAAAGTCCCCACCCACAGACCCGAGATCGGCCCAATCCCGTCCCCGGCATTTGATTACAGTATCAGAAATACTTAGATTAGGCTCAGGGCACTGCAACCAGCTTCTACTTCCCGTTTCTTCCCCCCCCGGCACCACCACCACAACTACCTACAGATCTATATACCCCCGGGCCATCACTCGCCAGTCAATCATCTGAACACCCCTCAATAAAAAAAGAAAGAAAGAAAAGACCCCCCCCCCAAAAAAAATGGACCCCCTCGCCCACGCCCTCCAGGCCATCGACGCCCTGCACAGCGCCGACCCCACCACCACCGCAACCGGCACCCCCAACGAACTACACTACGCCCAGCGCATGACCGCCTGGCTCTACCGGCACACCCCAGCCCCCGAGTCCCCCTCAGCAGCGCTCCAACTCGCCATCCGCGCCCAGCACCTCAAGCGCTGGGAGGTGCCGCGCGCGACCTACCCGGCCGGCAAAGCGGGGTACTACGCGTGGCGGACGGGGCTGGCGCGGCGGCAGGCGGAGCTGGCGATGGAGGTGTGCGTGGCGAGCGGGATCGCGGAGGCCGAGGCGCAGCGCGTCGGGCAGCTGATCCGGAAGGAAGGGCTGAAGGGGAAGGAGGTGGACGCCGAGGCGCAGGTGCTCGAGGATGTGGCGTGCCTCGTGTTCTTGGAGGAGCAACTCGAAAAGTTCCAGGGCGGGTATGAGGAGGACAAGGTGGTGGCGATCCTGCGCAAGACGTGGGGGAAGATGTCGGAGCGCGGGAGGGAGTTGGCGTTGACGGAGGTGCGGTTGGGGGAGAGGGGGCGGGAGTTGGTGGGTTTGGCGCTGGGGGATTCTTAAGTTTTGGGATGGGGAGATTTTCTTTGCGATGGGGTTGTTTATTGTTTGGAGTGTGGAGGGATTGGTCTAGGATGTATGTGAGATTTTTCATTATTATGTTGTTGTATGGAAGCATTAACGCCGGCTCTATATCCGTGGTATCTATATATTTTGTACATGTCATTAGGGCGTGAGTGAACTTTTGGTGTCGAAGACAAGGTGGTCGAGAGGGAAGTTGGCGTTGGCGTTGGCGTTGGCGTTGGCCAGACGAGTGTCAAGGTCTCTCCGGTGCAGTGTGGTTATACATCCCCCGCGTCGATCAGTCGCACCAGAGCAATGGCTGCCCCCGCCGCCACACCACCCACAAACACCATCTGTATGCCGCCCTTGAGCCCGGCCACGATGTTGTCGCGTCCGGTCCAGCCGCGCACGACACACGTCTTGATGTACCCGAAGGCCAGGAGCGTGACGGCCATGACGCCGATGCTCATGTACAGCGCGAGGATGACTTGGTTGACGAAGAAGTACGGGATGAGCGGGATGAAGCCGCCGACGAAGTAGCCCAGCGCCAGCGTGATCGCCGAGATCCAGGCCTGGTTGCAGTCGGGCTGGGACTCCTTGTGGTGGAAGCTGATGAGGAACTCCAGGAGACGCTCCTCCGAGGCGTGCAGCGAGTGGCTGATCTCGGAGATGACTTCGGCGGGGAGACGGTACGATGAGAAGATGGAGTGGACAATGGCGGTGGTTTCGGCAGGCGAGGAGGCGATCAGTTCCTTGGCTTCGCGGACGGTGGCTTCGTACGATTCGCTGCGATGACTGTTAACGAAGGTTTGAAAGGATGGTAGGGCAAGGAACAACTTACGCTTCACTCTTGGCTCCAACGTACCCGCCTAGTCCCATGGAGATGGCACCAGCGGTCAGCTCGGCCAAGCCACCCAGCACGACCACCTTGGTGTTTCCGAGAGCAGAAAGACCCGCGCTCAGCGCGAACGGCACGGTCAATCCGTCCGACAGACCCAGAATGGCATCGGAGACAATGCGGGGGTTGATGCGCGACCGTGAGCTTGTGCTGGTGCTGGTGCTGTCCACATCCGAGACGGGCGATGCTGGGCGGAAAGTGTCGTAGGAGCGTTGAGCCTCCAGGTCGCGGTTGACATAGATCTCATCGGCTTCGGAGTTGGACAACAACGGCTTGCCTGGAAGTATGGTATGTTAGCTTATGCTTTTAGGGCTGGAGGCCAAACTCAGGACAAGTGGGGCACGAACCGAATGGGCTGGAAGCTTCTTGTTGACTTCCAGGGAAGAGCTTTTGTTTGATGAAAAGAAGCGCCATGATGTGGAGATTGTGTCTGTTTTGATGATATAGAATGGAAGGATTTCAGGATTCGACAATGGGATGGTTTGTTGGTGTTGGTTGGCCTGAGGCCTGACGTCAGGACTGGACCAGCGGAAAAAGCGAGGCCGGATCGAATCTAGACCTTCGCTGCAATTCCGGTAAGGCTGGAAAAGAGGCAGTTGAGGTCGTCACAATGAATGATTCTGGAAGGTTTCTTGTTCGCTTTGATCTTCACGAGTACCCCTCATCTCATCTGAAGAGGAGTCCTTCCATTTATTTATAGGGACCCCCCCTTTGGATCCTCTTAGAAAACAACTTTTCTTCTTTACGTGGGAAGGCCCTTCCAGGCTGTCTGGTTGTCCGCCAATGAGAAAGTGGGTAATGGTCAGCGGGAGAAGATCATCCGCGGACCGCGCTCGAATTCCTTCGGCGTTAACCCAATACCCCGAGACTGATTGGTGAAACACCGCTATTGATGACATTCACCGGTCTGCTGAATGGTCAGTCCAAGCTGCTGGAGACACCACCTCGCGCGGACTTAGCTGATCGATACCTCTTGGAGGTAAAAAGGTGGGAATTTCCCGAGAGGGTCAACCACTGCTGCAGCCATACACCGAAGAAGGAGCTTGTCGAGATTCCCGCACCGCATCCGACACGGCTCGCCGCCTCACTTGGGTGTGTTAGGGGACACTGTGAGACTTCCTGGGCGGGGTTCGTGTCATGGTCCCTGGCGTCATGGTCGCGTTACAGTGTCTTGCCCGACTCTGTCTCATCTCCGACCCTGAGATCATCTGGATCAGCTCAAGCTTCATTGACCATCATCCCATTGTTCAAACAGCTTCCCTGTCATTGTTGACATCATGATCGATCTTGCGACATCATAGCACAGCCGCAGCACAAGGCACCAGTGCAGACCACGCTGTCTGAACTACAGGGGTGCTAGCATTTAGCATAGCATTTGCTTGCGCCGTAAATACGACCGCGCAAATGTGCTGGTGCTTCCCATTCGGCGAAGGCTACCTGTTTAGGGTTTTTTCTGCGCATGCTCACCACATCTCTGCAGTCTTCTGCGGATATTGCCCGGTTTCGGACACAGGCCGTAAGCTCGCCCCAGACGGCCCAGGATCTATTTATCGATAGTGGCAGCTCTCCAACAGATTTGGAGACACGCTAGAAAATTTCCCAACGCAGGGAGTTTCTGTTATACTATTTTTTTTCCAGCAGCATGGAGCACTGACTTTGCCAAGGGATAGTAGTTCGGCATTAAGGGAAGTATATCCACCTGGTTTCCCTCGGGTTACGAGTCAAGAATGGGACCTGAATACGTACCGTACCGGTCTTGGCTGGACGGCTTCGATTCTGGAGGAATATTGTTCAGATGCTTGTTTCTCGGAGACTTCTTTAAACTTGGCGTGGGGACATCTGCTGGAAACACGAGGCCTCTATCGACTCAATTTATGGTTCATCGACTATTACCCCTTTTATCTTCCTGCCTGCTCATCTGACTGGACAGGCAAGCTATGTCTCGTGGGGATGTAGAGCTTCGATACACAAGAGAAATCTATCTCAACAAGGGGAAGCTGGCCGAGACCTTCGATTGCTACCTGCGATATGACGATCCATGTTGCCTGAGGCGGAAGCAGACAATGAGGGATCCAAAACAACAATATCAAGAAGCAGAATCTAGCTCCGGAAGAATGACCCTTAGCTCATTCACTAACGCAACACATATAACCAATTGCTCATCTTCATTTCTCATCTACTGGACAAGACCAACGAGCACTTCATAGAGCGTTCACCACGCCCATGACCGCAGCGACACCCATCGCCCCAGGCCCCAGGCCAGTCGGTGCAGGTGCAGGCACTCCACCACGAGACTTCTTATGGCACAGATCAGCAGCCGTGTAAGCCGTAGAAAAGAAGTGCTTCACATCCGCAGGCAGCGTGCTATACCACTCAGGGCAAAAACCATCTCGAATCTCGCTGATGAGAGACGCCCGAGCGGACGGGTCGGTCAACTGGGAGAGATAGGATGTCGGGAGTGCGGTCCGGAGCACCAGCTCAACGGATGTAGGAATCTGAATTTCTGGGATAGTGATGGTGTGCGTAGCTCTGTGGATTGAGGTTGGTATCGTCTCCCAGTCAGTAGAACTTTGCCGCGGGAACAACGTACAGATTCGGTCTAGGATCACGGAGGCCCGGTTGTGGCAGTGGTCCATCGCTAGCGTCTGGCGAGGCGGTTGCTAGGGTCTTAAGTATAAGGGCGAAAAGGACAAGACCGCTGTAGATGTGCATTCTTGCCTCTAGAAATATGATGCCCGCGTGTATACGTCAGTAGCAGGTGAGGGCTTACATAGCATGAAGTCTCATTTAATACAGCGTGTATGATGTGTAGATTAGATATATCGATTTCAATTGGCACCTTTGCGAAGAAAAACTCCGAACAGGCAACCTGCCTGTATGCAAGTTGCCGACGCTCGAGTCACTTCAATGAGCTTGTCCTGCATCAACACAGCGGTATACGGGTCTCTGGTGCCCTCTTCAGCTGACCTTCGAGCACGAAGTAGTCAATCTAATTGTTGGAGGAATAATCCCGAGACTCGGTGTCGAAAATCTGTTTAGACTCTGGACTTGGTGCCCTGTCCGTGCCTCCGCTACGAAGCCGCCTGCTGGGCTATCAATTGCAGGGATTGCCAATCTGCTAATGCTATCCCACTTCAATTGCGACAACTGAAACCAGGGAAGCAGACCCTGAGGCGCGCAACAAGCGGGAGGAACTTGACTCTGCAGTGGAAGGACCTTCCTCTCACCGACCGACCATTCAGACTACCCCCTTCAATCTTCCGCACAAGCAAACACTCTCAATTAACCAATCGCCCATCAAGCAGCGCAAACTAGATTCTCATCTTAGAATACTCTTCTACTACCAACAGTCAAAACCAAAGGTGAGACCCCCGCCAATTCTGCCTTCCCGCACCGCCCAGCTCAGCCAACCAATCACCCTGTGCCTTTTACCCGTTCTTCCCATATATACCATTGTAATCTTCTCCTGGTGCCTTCGGGCATTTGGTCAATTTGAAACGATACAGAGAAGATTAGCATGGCCCCTGCACTAAGGATGACACGCTCAATCAAAGAGAAGCTACCAGTTTTTTTTCGCACCTGTCTCAGACCTCTTTTCGAGGTAGAGGTGTCATGGCCTGGTGGAGAGAGGGGGGGACAGCGGGGGTTCGAACCGGGTGGTGTGTTTTCTTTCCTTTTTTTTTTTTTCAAGTTCTTTTTGGAGATGTTCTGGTCCAAGGAGGCGCTGCATTATTTCACGCCACCGTACGGAGTAGCAGCTCTACCAGGAAAACTACGTGTTATGCAAGTAGGATTTGCGCTTGTTGCAGCTTTACAATGCGGACGCAGGAGCAGGAATGACGACAGTTGTTGAGTGAAGTATTGTATAACGTATGATATGTTCACAGATAGATATACACAGACGGGTTCATTCCCTCAGGTAGGTGATGGTGCTGCTGAAGCTGCTCAAGCACCCCCCTCGCGCTTCGCGTACTCTTCCTCCATTCTCTCTTCGTATAACCGGTCGGCTTCCTCCTTGCTCAGTGGTCTGTCGTCGTCGGATTGCGAGGTCGATGACGAGGAGAAGCTTGGGTTTGTGGTGTTGGTGGAGGTGGAGGTAGTGTTGTGCTCGGTGGCGAGTGAGGACTGGGTGGTCTCGTCCAGGGCGGGGGGGATTGGGATAGGCATTTTGGATGGTTGATTTGCGTGTTGAGTGAGTGCAAGTTGTGTAGGTAGGTAGGCTTGTGGTTGAGTGAGAAAAGAGATAGACAAGACAAGCAGTCAAATTAAGTCAGGTGGTTTGTTATTCAGCGACAGGTTGGGAGCAGGAAGGAGGTTATATATGCGGGACAAGATGGTGGCAATCCAACGTCATCGGGATGACTCGCGGGCTAGCTGGAGTTCGGCGACCGAAGCTTCAGCTCGAGGGGCAATGCCCGACCAAGCTCAGCCCCAACCGTGGGGTCAACATCGATATTTTCTCTACAAGCTACATACAACCTCTTCTCCACCCTCGCGCCACTGGCGCGAGATCTGATGAAAAGGAAAAAAGATTTCTCTCAAGAGAGAAGAGTGCCAAAGAATACGCCTGTCAATGACCCGAAGGCCGTTGAACAGACTGTTCCGCCGCGCTGTGCAATGCAGGGACCAATCTGTGGTGAACCGCCTTCTTGATCGCAGTCACCCAAACAAGGTAAGTATGAAGAAAAGAAAGAAGAAAAAGGTGCAAAAGGACGGCGGGCGGACGCGGTTTATATACGCCGCTGGGAGGGGCCCGAGCGCGCGCTAGGCGGAAGCGAGATTCTGCGGCGGCTTGCGATTGGTGGAGAGAAGGTCATGTGATTTACATGCTGCCCATGCCAGGTGCATTCTTAAGGTTGCTGCATTGGGAAGGAAGGGATGAGCCCACTGCCAGGTGCACTCCATTGTAGGAGATAGTAGGAAATATGAGAGCCCGCGGGTCTTAGTTTATCTCAGGATGAACAAGATGAACAAGATGTACTTACAGGCTAAAGGCCGATGTATGTACGGGGTAAGATCGCAGCATAATTGCTATTGCTCAAGCATTCTCGATATCGACTTGAATGTTCTATAGCTAAGGCCATTCCCGACAGCATTGTCATATTATGTGCATGTAGCTCAGGTAATCACGATACACATAGCTACAGCATGAGCTCCATTCATGCACCAACGCCCTCCACTACGTACTTATCCTCCATCACTCATAGATGCCAACTACCCTTCACTCCGCACTGAGGGCGAGGCACGCGTCAACAGCCAGCCCAACCCTATTGCCAGTGTCAGCTCGAGACTTCCTTGGCGAGACTGCAAATGTGACTCACCGGCCCTCCTTTATCTTGACAACATCGTCAATCACGTCACGGTCAAGGTTTGGAAACATATTCGACAACGTCTCCACCACGTTGTTGTGCTCAGCACGTTGTATCCTACGGGCCTCGGCGTCCTCGGCGCTAGCCTGGCGAGCGGCAGCATCCTGAGAATCGAGGGCTCTAGTCGATTGTGACGGCATGGCACTGCGTGGTCGTTCACCCGATCGTCGTCCCTCGCTGCTGTTCCGGGGAGGCTGATATACATTCGGTGTGAGTCGCGTGGGCGATCCCGACCGCGCAGGGCGGTCTTGGGGTGAATCCGGCTCATCGGAGAACAGCCTGCCAATGGTGGATAATGGTTTCTGAATGGTGCGCAGCAGCCCTGCTACAGGCGCTTGATCTTCGTCACTGGGCTGTGAGGTGTCTCTCCGCCCAGGTGGGCGTGGAGCATCCATCGAGGCACGCGGCACTGAGGCTGCTTGCGAGCTCTCCGCGGAACGCTCCATAGATCTGCGCTCCAATGACTTGCGCTCGCGCTCCTTGGTCTCCGACTCACGGTTTTGTTGAGCGATAGCTGAAACAGCAGCTTCAACGTTCCGCTCAAAGTCTTCATCACTCACTGTCAGACTCGTGCGGTCAAGGGTTTCGATAAATTGAATAGCTCCGGACTAGACATCAAGTCAGAATACAGCCGTGGAGCAGAAAAGTGACAGGCGTGGTCGACTAACCAAGGATGACAGATAATAACCGGCTTCGCCTCCGAGCTTTTCCTGATTACGGAAGCGTAGAATGTATTGAATGTTAGATACCAAGTGTGCAGGGTTGGCCTGCAGCACCACATAGATTAGGAGCGGAACGAATGAATCTGCTGACGTGTCGGATCGCTTCGAGTTCCTTAGCAGGCCTGGAGTCACTATCAATACTTTTCGTTCTCGACCCTGCGGATATGTTGTTCACCTACCGAAAATCACCTTGCAGCAGTTGAGAATGCAAATGACCTTATCGCGGGGTGCCCGGTAGCCGTTGATCTTCAGCAGTTCTGTAACTTGTAAGCAGTCACCCTAGGAGAGCAATCAGGTGCACCGACCTTGCTGGGCTAAATTTAAAAAGCGCCGACCATGTGTGCTCACAGGTGGTATGTCGAGATGCTCCTCTTTCACCCAACTATATATGCGCATTTTCTGAGTCAGGACTTCATCCCGCTCAATATCTTCTTGGTGTTGTCCTCGCCTCCATGGCCCATGGTTTCTTTCCAGCTCTCTCCGCTTGCTTCTGCTCGCGCTTCTGGGGATCGTAGGCGGGCCAGGTATAGCCGGGGAGAATGTTTGAGAGTACAGTCGATTCATAACCAGCTTCTCCATACCCTCTTTGGCGTTGTCGAATTCACTGTCAGAGACACCGCGCCATACCTCACACTGAGCCATCTTGTTGGTGATAAAGACCAAGAAGTCGCTAATGATCTTAACCTGCTCATGGACCATCCATTGTCTCTTGCCGAACTCGTTCAGAAAAGACCTTAGGAACTTGGCGACCGGGTCTGCCGTGCGATGCCGTAGTTGTTCCAGGAAGCGATGGAAATCGAACGGCTGATCAGATTCGGGTTCAGGGGGCGGAGGAATCGTCGACGTCGACGACCGTCGGCTCAACCTTGCTTCCTCGGTGATAGAACTCTCACGTAGGGACTTGATGGACTGCTTCTCAGGCGAGGCGATCGAGCCACCGGGTAGAGGGATCTCATCTGGACTCGCTTTGCTGTGTTCTAGGCTCGATTGGCGTGGCGGAAAATGACCCTGGCCACCGAAGAATTGTTCCGCCAGCTCCAGCCGGGGTGACATGATGGTCTCCTCCTTGTCGGCATGTGCCGTGTCTTGAAACTGGTCGATGATACTTTGAATCTCTGACTGGGAGTCACTGCCCTGGTCCTCACCTCCGCCGACTGTATCTTTCTTGATCCTTCCTGCAACATCGCCGGGAACCTCAGGTAATTCTTTGTTGGTCTTCTCGGAGAGGGCAGTTGGAGGGGTGCGGGTGGGCCCGGCAGATTGGGTCTTCGAGGTGAAATACGACTCGTCTTTGGCAGGAGGAGTGGGGGGTATGTCGGTGCCAGGGGTTGCGACAGGTTCGGGGGTCTTGGTTGTCACGATCGAAAGCCCCTGCAACTTCTCCGGAAGTGACTGCAGATTCTCGGCTGGCGTAGAGGATGGATGCGGGGAGTGTGTAGCGGCGCTCTGCGCCTCAAGTTGAGGGTCTTGATTCATCTCGACTGGCTTGGGATCCTTAGGTAGGGGAGAAATATCATCTTGACTCTGCGCCGTTGATTCGAGGCCGGCAGTAGTCACTTGAGGGTCACTGCGACTTCCTTCATCGAGTATGGGCTGTTGGTGCTCCCCTTGGATAGGGGAAGCCGGCGACTCCGAGGGTTCTGTGGCAGACATAAGCTACCGGCATGCACGTCGATGTCAAGCAAGAAATTTAAAAAGAATGCGTTAGGTAGCAACACGGATCATCCTGGAGTGGGGGCATTCGGGGACGGAGTGGGCGTCGGAGCTGTCGCGCGGCAACTGACATCAGCCTCAACTGTGGAAGCAGAAGGAGAGGGTAACCGGACTCAGTATTGTTTATACATACAGTCACCACCCTCAAAAGTAAGCAAATTCAAACCTGCAAAGCAAGCGCTTGCCTGGGATGAGGGGAAGATGAGTTCCGAGTCCCCGACAGCTCCGAGGATGTCAGCCCGCAATCAGCGGCGGGGGGATCATCGTTGCCCCGACCTCCGCCGCCTTTCTTGCGGTGCTTTCCGCCAATTCTCTTTCGTCAACAACCTATCCCCTCGCCTGCGCATTTGCTCGCGGCTTGGGTACTATCATGTGCGGTATCTTCTTCTCGCTGGGAGCTTCGAAAGCTGTGCTTCCGAATGAGGAGACCTGCTGCTTGCTACGGTGCAGGGGACCGGACAACTACCACGTCCACACTGTGGAGCACAATGTGAACGGCAAACAAACAATCAGCGGAGCATCCGCAACTGTTTTTCTTAGCTTCGCCTCGACAGTCTTGTCGATGAGAGGCGACCATGTGGTCCCTCAACCTCTGGTAGATGCGAATACCGCATCTGTGCTCTGCTTCAATGGTGACGCCTGGAAGATCAAAGGTGAACCAATTAAGGGCAATGATGCTGAACTGATCTTTAGTCTCTTGTTGGAAGCCGTGAACAGGCCGAATGCAGACTCATCGGCACAGCAGAACTCTCCGGATATCGTCCAAAGGGTCGTGGATGTCCTCAGTAGTATCTCCGGCCCTTTCGCCTTTGTGTTCTACGATGCTGTCAACTCGAAGATTTACTTCACCAGGGACTCTCTGGGACGACGCTCTCTGTTGCAGGGTGTTGATGATGAGGGCAACTTCAAGGTCTGCAGTCTGTGTGACAGCACAACTACCACTCATTTCACCGAGATTGAGACAGACGGAGTATATACGATCGACCTCGAGCATGCTTTCAGTCCCTCAGGCCCAAGCTCAAGTGCCAGCGGCCGTGCTGCCGTTTTCTCTATGGACAGTATACACACCCTGCTCTGGGATCAGGAAGAATCCCCCCTTCGTCCAGTATGCGCTTCTTCCACGTCTTTCGCGACGATCGCAACTGCTAACAATCAACTAGAAAACCCCCATTCTCCCAATGAACCGATCTCTCCCCGAAGGATTCACCGCTCCACCACTGACTACCGAAACGCCAGTTATCCCAGCCCTGGAACACAAACTGCGCCAATCCTTAGCGTTACGAATAAACAATGTGCGAGAGCCTCCGACATCACCGACAGGTAGCACAGTCAAGGTTGCTGTGTTGTTCTCAGGGGGGCTTGACTGCTCCTTGCTCGCCAGACTGTCCCACGAAATCCTCCCTGAAAACGAAACCATTGACCTACTCAACGTCGCTTTTGAGAACCCACGGGTTGCAGCTGCAGCTGCCAAACAAGGTGGAGGTGGGGACATGGGCTCCGTGTACGAAAGCTGTCCCGATCGAATGACGGGTCGAGCAGCTTTCGCCGAGCTCCAGCGGGTGTGCCCCGGTCGAAATTGGCGCTTCGTCGCCATTGACATTCCGTATACAGAAACCCTCGCGCACCGAGACACCGTGAAGCGGTTAATGAGGCCGCACAACACGGAAATGGATCTGTCTATTGCATGCGCGTTGTACTTTGCCTCTCGCGGACAGGGTCAAGCGTACGATAGCCACCAGCAAGAGGGCAGTCACGTACCATCCTCGTATACCACCTCCGCCCGCGTCCTCCTCTCCGGCCTCGGTGCAGACGAGCTTTTTGCAGGCTACTCACGACATGGGGCTGCCTTCTCGCGCGACGGATTCGCTGGTCTGATTGACGAGATCAACCTTGATGTGAGTCGCCTGGGGAAGCGCAACCTGGGCCGTGACAATCGAGTCATCGCCCACTGGGGCCGCGAAGCGCGCTTCCCTTTCCTGGACGAAGACTTCGTCTCCTGGGTCGTGCAACTCCCCGTCTGGGAGAAATGCGGTTTCGGAACCGCCGCCAGTGAACTTGGATCAGAAGAAACAGAAGCAGAAGCAGGACTCGACTCAGAAAAGAAAGCCCTGCGCCTGGTTGCGCTCCGTCTGGGTATGACTAAAGTCGCCCGCGAGAAGAAACGCGCCATCCAATTCGGATCCCGAACCGCAAAGATGGAAAAGGGTCGAGTCAAAGGCACCGATGCGCTCAGCTGAATGAAAGACAGAACATAACTCCATACCCCCCTTCACCGTTTGCTCACCCCCGACACAGTAGAACAAACGGTCACGATCCAACCCCTTTTCCTGCCCTTTCACCCACACTCTCCTCGCCAGAACCAAATGAAAGACCAGCAGATGATGACAAACCCCAAGAATCAGATACTTCCGAGACCCAGCCCCTTAAGCTAGTCCTGCTTTCCTCTTCCAACCCATTTGCTTCCCCCCCTCGGGTTGTCTGTCTCACGTCCTGAAAGGAAGATAGTCACCATTCATTCAGACACTCCTTTATCCACCCCAACAAACACATGCCGTTTCAACCAACAGCACGGGACTGCAACCGCCCGCTGGCCTTTCTTCAGCCGATCCTGAGGTCCTCTCAGGATCTTTGGCTAAGGAAGAGACAGGGATAGGTACTTCCCAGTTGCAATACGTTGGAATTCCATCACTGTATATTTGTTCCTTGAATTCCAAAATTCGAGGAACTGTATGGCTGTGTTTGAGGATAGATGTGAGTGTGTGAGTGGGTGTATCGACTAATTCTTTTTTGTGGACTTGTGGATATGTGCAATTTGGGGGCCGATGGGAAATGGGCTGGGAGGGGGGGATGGGGAAATGGGGGGTTTGGCGTTGATGAGGTGTTTAAAGGCAAGTCTGAGCTGTGTATCTTTCTGGTTGTTGGTTGAGATTGTAGATATACTATACCACTTTGGAGAAAAGAGGTTCCGGTGCGTGTGTGATGTCGTAGGTGGTTGTATTGTGATAGAGAGCCCAATGTGCGCTTACTCTAGCTAGGAATAGAAGTTTCTTCATGTGAGACAGATTCTGATTAACGTAGAGTAACAATGGCTGGCAGAACCACGTACGGGGACGACTTGAGCCATAGTAGCTCAAACTAGTAAACATCGGAAAGAAAACCATAAGTGACGATGACTACAAAGAGATGAAACTACGGCAAACGGAGCAGTTGTCCAGAGACTGGAATTTTGTTGATTTGGGGAAAGCAATCCGTGTGGCAATTGACGACCACACAACTGAAGCCTTCAGCCAGCTACTTAAAAACATGACAGTGCAGTGTCTCCTTCAAGGCATCGAAAGGACCCAGTGAGAGGGTGGCCAGATCGATCCAAGGGGAAAGACACATACAAGCAAGGAAATGTAGTAGAGAGCATTCGAAAATAGCAAGATAAGCAAGTCCGTGATGGTCACAATCTGGTACAAATATCAAGCTTGAGTGGAAACAAGAGCAAAGTGAGCTTTGAGACTCAACACAGGAATAGAGAGATATTAAGGCCACGAGTCAATCCATATATACAGGAGACATCAGAACCGGCCGTTTGACAAAACGACATATCCAAAGAACAAGACCCTCAGCTGATTGAACTGGGGTAAGAAGCGAAACACACCAAGAGAGGGGACTTGTTGAAGAGTCAAGCCCACCTCGAGAGAGAAGTACAACACAAGGCCCGGCAGTGCAGCGAGACAAGCATGGTGACCGATCATGATCAAGTGACAGATGTAAAACTTTTATCCCGTCGATAGCAGGTCGAACAGCCGGTGATTGATGGCGATAATTAAGGGTCATCGACTGCTATCGACGGGAGACAGACAAAAGGCTCGACGCCCCCGTCCACAAGACTCAAATAAACGACAAGTGCACGATGAGCACAGACACATAGTAACAAAACCCTTTGACCCGCAAACATACACAAGAAAATCCGATAAACTTTTATTGACCCTCCATGGCGAGAGCCTTCATCTTCCAGTACTGCTCACTCTGCTGAGCCTGGAGGAGGGACTCTTCGAGCTCGGCGACGCGACGCTCCAACTCTTCTTGGCGCTCCAACTTGCGAGCACGTGACTTTCGCGCCGCTTCAGTGTTGCGCGCCCGCTTCACAGCGGCAGGATCGCTCGTGTCGCACGTGATTGGTGCCAGTTCCTTGCGCTGACGAGCGTTGACACCAGCGACAGTGGAGTGCTTGGTGACACCAGCGACGGTGGAGTGCTTGACGCGGGTGGTGGGAGGCGAGATAGAGCGAGCTGCGACACCTGAAGCTGGAGCAGGAGACTTCCTTTGCCTGATGATGGGAGAGGCGCTTTCTCTGATGATGGGAGAATGCGGGGGACCCATAGACTTGGTAGGCGGCAAGGGGGGGATCATCTCGCCCGAGTCCATAGCCGGGATCATCTCAACAGGGTCGATGAGCTGATCGAGACGGTTCACCTCCTGCGAGATGGGGAACAAAGCATCCCAGTCTTCGACAGAGGTCATCAACTCCATCTCGGGGGTGAACAGAGGGGAGGTGTTCTGGCTAAAGCTGCCAGGCGTAGCCAACGGAGGAGTGCTCAAATCAGTGAAAGTGGCCGAAGGAGGAGGCGCGAGAGACGAGGCATCAAGGAAGAGGTCCTGGGGCGAGACAGTGGCAGGAGGAGCAGCCTCGACTCCCTGGCCGAAGAAGTTGCCAGTCATCATCTGAGGAGAGAGCATGGTAGCCTCCATAGAACCAGGCTGGAAGTCAAAGAGTTCGGACAGGTCTGTGATTCTGATGTTAGCGATACTGACACAAGCCATCCGGCTCGTCGCTTCGTGCTCACCTTGAGGAATCATGGAGGTAGACATGTTGCGGCGGTGATTCTGTTTATTGAGGTAGTTTTGATATCGCTTTAGGTAGTGTAGGTGCTGTTTTCTGAGGATCTGATCGTGGAGTTTTGGAGTGGTCGAGTTGTCGTTGAAAAGAGGAACTGGAGGACGATTGAAATGGGTGGTGGAGGGCGAAGCGGCAGGCGCGGCGTACTGGCGCAAATTTGGCTTCCGTGCGTAAGGATGAGACCAAGGAGACGTAGTAGACAGATGATACCCGGAACTGTAAGGCGCTATTCTGGCAGATGTAACCTGACTAGGCGAGGCTGCGAGCCGGTGGTGTACCGCTGATGAGTGTCGTCGAGTAGGTAGCCCAGATGGGACCAGAAGATTTGAAGAGGCCGAAGAATTAAGGGTAAGATTCCGTGGTGCTGGAGCACGCGAGTCCCTGGGTGAAGGCTGCGACGCTGGAAATAGCACAAAGTCTTCCTGTGGAAGGTTGTTGTTGTTGTTGTTGTTGCTGTTGTTGCTGCTGTTGTTGTTGTTCGGAACTGAAGCCAGTGGCTGCTGAGACGGGGGCGTGGGGAGCCATGTTTGCTGAAAGTTATCCGTGGTGAACGACGTAATGTCGAACGGGGTAATCGTGCGAGTGGGAGAACTTGAGCTACGCGATGCGATGCTGAAGTTCAGAGGTCCTGGGACAGGAAACTCTGAAGGGGGGGTTGACGAAGGGGGAAAAAAAGACGAGGTCCGAAGAGGATCTATGATGTCTGTCTCTGTTGAGAAAGACGAGTGTAACCGCGGAAAGGCGTTTACAAAGCCATTTTGAATCGATGGATCAGAAAAAGTCGCGTTGTATGATGGCTGTATGGTGACGGCAAGGTGAATCTATGGTGTTGAGGTTGTAAAAAGACCGAAGTCAAAAAGTGGGATGTCAAAAAAAAAAAAGAAGAGGGAGGAAAAGCGCCAGGCAGCGAAGGGAAACCAGGCACTTCTTAAACCGAGTACCATTTTACGGAGACCAATCAGCGTTCCCCTGCCCCCCGCCTGTCGCTCTAACCTTCTGGGGCTAAGCGCACTTTTGGCGCGGTCAGCAGGTGTGAGTCATAGGGCCTATGAAAGTCCTCATTGGCTGCACATTTTCTGCCGGTGGGGCCGGTCGGAGCCCCAGGCATTCCCGTGCCTGGAGCAGGCAGTGAGCCTGCTGGCTCCCTGCTGGACTCGAAGTCGGTTGTCGACTGCGGTACCGCCCAAATACCGCCCTTTACCGTTCAGGTACACTGGCGGGGGATGTCACTGGCCAGTATCCCTCTTCACCTCCACCGCTAGAATGGAAAAAAACGAAAGAAAGAAAAAGGTCCCCCCCAGGATCCAGGCTGGAGTGGTCAATGATGATGAAACCGGTTCATCCACCGGATCCATTGACCAACCACCTCGCAGGTCGGGGTCTGCATTCGGAGAATCACAACAGTGCCCCGGGCTGTCCTTTGGGGGCTGAGCAAGAGCCTCACCCTCCTGTCTCACCTGCCGTGCCTATTGATTGACTGGACTACGACTACTGTGTAGATTTCATATTGAGTGCTAGGCAGACAATCCTGCATCTGTACACGTACAGTGCAAGACCACACCCGCGCACAGTTATTCTTCTTCCTTCCTGCAGTCGGAGTTTCGGAGATCATTTACTCGATTCACTCCCCGCCCTGCAGAGGGCAGGCCCCTCTCTTGCTCGTTAAAATCGCTCGAAGGGCGTGAAATTCCACCCGGTCAAACTCTATCAAGACACCGGGACGTTCCGGCCTCTTCACTAGCCAGGAATGCCTTGATTAGACGGTTCAACCATGAAGTTCAGACCACAATTTTTAGCCCTTTCCACCCCCGTTCAGGTTTGGGAAGAATCCTCACGGCTGGTCTCCTGCACAGCGGTATCACTTTGATGAGAAATGGAATGCGATTTATTTCTCAGAGCGCAGCAGCACCTCAGCTGAGGGAAAAGAATCAATCCCCTTTTAAACTTCCTTAAGTTGGCCACTCGCCCCAATCTAACTGGGGCCGGTATCGGCGGCACAGGGCCGGCCCTGTGACAACTTACAACTTACAATCATTCACAGAAATGTACGGAAAAGTTCCGTATCAGAACCAGCCAAGGAACGGGCCTCCATAGAGGATAGTTCATCGTTTAGAATGGAGCAGATACGGACCCTACCGGACTACTGTCGTAGAGGGGAAAAAGGGGAGGGGAGAAAAAATCTTCACCACTGACCAAAGATTCATAAAAAGTCAAATCTCAATGCAACAGATGGGATGTCACTCAAAAGGCACAGAATAGCATCAATGTTGATCAGATCGATCGGATCAATTGACTAGGTCACAGGCAGCAAAGTCGTCAAGGATGACGACAACAAGACACAAATGCCAGGCAGCCTGGACCAAAGGGGTTGGGGAAAATCGAGACAGGACAGTGTCTTGGACGCTTGCTTCCGGTCTCTTTTTGTGGCATCCACATTTTACCCCCACGGGTGGGGACTGCGACTGCGACGGACTGGAGATGCGAAGAAGCCCTTGCGCATGGGATGGATACGCCGCCGATACGGACTGCAGCCGCGTGGCCCGCCGGCCCTGCTTCAGTCGCACATTCGAAAGTACATACAGGCACATGCAGAATCTAACGGCTTTCTGCTGCCCGGGAAAGAAAAGAGGCAACCACCAGTGAGCTATCACAACTAGCATTATTAATGTGAGCTTCTCCGTCGCGTGGACTGCCGATCGGTGCATCTAAAGCACTGGAGTCGAGTCTGTAGGTACGTGTCCTCTTATCCCCGGTTTGTAAGCATTGCACGGAGAGACGGGCCAGCCCATTTGTTCTGATTGGCCAATGGGTAGTGCAGCAGTCGCAGCCTGGATATCCATATGATGATATGATGAATGGTGGGTGGATGGACACGTTAATGGCAGCCTACTAGGTAGAGTCCAAAATACTAGTACAATAATAGACTCTTCATCTAATACCTAGGCATCAACCTTTTTCCTCAAACCAATGATTGTCGACAGAATAACCTCGATCTCACCAGGAATGTGAAAGTGTATCTCGGCCGAAGTGTACCCCACCCCAATGGCCATGCGATGATGATGCGATACCATCGTCCAGTATGATCGCCTGGAACTCTAAAGATCGATCTACCACCGTAGCTAGAGTACTACATTATGCTAGAGTACATCATATCGTAGATGATTTTGCACGAACTCAACCCCCGGGAAAAAAACAAAATCGGATCCAACAGCACCTCGAATGTTATCCGACCTGCTCGACCATGTCTTGTCAAGATCGTAGAGTTTGTCGTTTCCCCTTTTCTACCATACTACCTTCTTAGAACACAATAGACAAATGCCCCCTCAAGTGTACTGTAGCTATAGCCTTCCACAGCAGCAGCAGTGCAGGCCGCCCAACGCAACTGATGATTATCACAATTCTTCCTCATCAAGCGTAGTATCGGGCCATCGTTCCGGGAATGACATCGTCAGTCCCAGAGATCGTCTTCTGTCTTTCCAAGCCTTCATCAAGAAAATAGATTTTGACTTCAGTGTAGTATACTGCACTGGAGTCATGCAAGGTGGCAAGGGTGCCTCGTACACATCGAAGCCCGCCGGCTCCGAGACAGTCCAGCACGTCGCTGGGCCTGCATCAAGTGCTGGCGTCTCTTCGGAATTGACATTCGGGACGACACAGGATGATTGAATGGCTATAGGAGGTATTGAGGAGGAGGACGAAGAGGGGGGGGGGGGGGGGGTTAAAAAAACCCCCATTTGCTGACGTAGTCTTCTCCTTGTTTTGCTGGCTGATTAGGAAGGAGTGTGAGCTTGAAGTCGGATTTGAGATCGAGCTGTCCAAAAGACGATGGCGTCTTTGTGATGTACGCCAGCTCCTCCCTCGAGCAAACATTAGCCAACCACTTCCCACTGTAGCCATCTGAAAACAAATGGACCACAATCGTCGAAAAGCCATCAGGCTCAATCGAAAAATGCCTGCAGATCATTAATCAACCATAGGCAATCCAGAGCCTAGGCCATCGGCCGACCGCAGCCGCAGATATCATCGCAATAGGTGACAACAAAATCACAAACCAGCTATCCTCCTGCCTCAATTCAACAAGTCCCAAGCAAGCAGTTTATGCAGTATTGATTCCAAATTTCGGTAAATATCCTCACCATTCTGAACCCGAGCTCTTGAAGCAGCATTCAAACCCTGCTCAGGGTTCCGGAAAGTCGTTTGGAAATGTACTGTACGATGCCAGAACTCAGCAGCGATTGCCACAGACAGGACACAAATGCCTAGCATCCATCGGCTCCCCGCGGTTGCCAAATGTCCTTCGCGGTATCTTCAAGGAAATACTGTATATCACTGCCCGAGGAGCCTTACCGTGTACAGGCCATGATCCGAATGCACGAGCAAAGCGGGCAGGGCATGGCTGTCTCCATAACCTCCGTTCGTGAAGCTACCGACGTAGGGCATATCGCCGTCGCGCCCCTTCCTCCACCTCGCAGCTAACGTTGCATCGATTTGAGAACTCGGTCGACGTCCGAAAAAAAAAAAAAAAAGAAGATTTCCTGTCCCAAAAGGAAGTGACACCATGGTAGAACGCTTGCATTTGCAGTGAAAAGGTGTGAGGACTCGAAGACGATAGATGTCAGGACACAAATCGGCATCGTCGAGACAACAGTCTTGGACCGATACCGCTCACCTTTTTCCAAACGTGAGCGTCATAGTGGAAAATCGGCCATCGCCATCGCCAACTCTCTGAACGACGGATGCCACCACCGACTCCAAGATCCTGATCTCTCCCTGTAGCCTTCCAGAACAGCAGGCGCCAACGTAGTGGCACCCTTAGCACTCTTATACCTGACAGTGGCAACCTCCCAGATCAAATTTGCACACAAAGCATGGTGGGGCATGCAATACTTCCGCGCAACGGAGCCGCTTTCCGGTGTGATTTCCGTAGAGGAAAGCCTCGCCCAGTATCTATTGCACGTCCCTGAGAAGTGCAATAACCACTGTCCGGAGGAACTTGCGCAACCTGAGCCGCGATACTGAAATCGACCCCACTGCAGATATTCGGGATCCTGTTTTCACATTCAACGCCGTGGTAAAGGGGGGAAACGGGATGATCCTGCGTCCGCCTTGTCCATCCACAGGTATCACAGAAGAACTTCTCCATAACCGTTTCGCCCTTGGCTGCGAGGTCGTGGGCGGCGGACGACGGTCAGGCCGGCCAAGACCAGCGCCGATGACAGTAAGATTGGTGATATGAAGATAGGTCAGGCCTGGTGGTTGAAGGAGGGAGCAGCCGCGGTCCACGGTGTTCAACTCGTACCCGGTAGTCAGCGAGCTAAAGACCGAGCTTAGTCAACGATGGGCTTGGGAGGTTGTGTGGGGACGAACCATACAGGAAGCTCTCACACACAGTGCAGACATACCCAATTGAAATGCATTACGCTGGTCATCCGTTGTGATGATAAGTCGAATTTCCAAGACATTAGAGTACATTCGAAATGAGCCCATGGCGCAGGTAATTTCCACTCATGGTGGCGGTACGGGATAGCCCTGAGTTATTTAGGTATCCACAAGAATAGATCGATCTCCATGACACTGACCGCCAGAGACCTCGGAGAATATCTCCATACGCAGGTCACTGCTAGCCTAACTGCAATTGTACTGTGCTGTGCTGTGCTGTGCTGGGGAGCACACCGCAACAGGCAAATCGGAAGTGGGCGGAACTGTCTCCACCAGACGCACTATGTGGAACAGACGCACGGAGGACATGGACACCTTATATAAACACCTGGGGTAGCCCCCTGAACAATTGCAGAACAATGCGTGAGATTCTATTAGCTATTACCTAATGATGCGGTGCCCAAGTATACATGACGCGACCAGCATTCTGTCCCACCATCGAGTCACCATAGTGGCCAAGATGAGTGGTTAACAGTGAGCACCATACCCTTTCAACAAGCAAAAGAGACCATCCTTTCCTCCGACAAGGGTATCCAGTCAAATGCATCAAATGGCAGTCACAATCAAATCGCGAGGAAGCACAGAAAAAGAAAAAAAAAAACAGCAGCAAGTGGTATCAATCTAGTTTGGACGGCGCACAACATGATCACGCAAGGCCCAATGTGGATTCTTGCGGAACGGATATCATAAACGAATGAAACGCAGCACAAGACGTCTGAAGGGACATCAAGGCTCGGAAATAACCGCCAAAGCAGTACAGGGTATCATTGACACTCGACACGGATCATTTCGCCAATCGCTCGACGAGAGAGGCCCATGAAGGAGTCAAGTGGGTAGTATCAACGTCAAGCCAAAGTAGCAGATTTATTTTTTTTGTTGGATTCGAGAGAGTTCGGATCGCCAAATTGCAGACAGGTCACCTGTCTCTGACCAGGACACCGACCATTTAGGCGGCAGCCTGGACAGGGGTGGAGGCAGGGACGTTGTTGACAGGGGCGACCTCCTCGGTGGCAGCAGGAGCCTCAGCAGGCTGGGCACTCTCCTCAGCGGGGGACTCCTGGACGGGAGCCTCCTTAGGAGCAGCCTCGGTGGCCTCCTTGGTCTCCTTGACCTCAGTCTTCACAGCTTTGCTAGGCTTACGGAAGATACCGCCCAGCTTGTTACCCTTAGGCTTGGCCTCGCCGTCGGCGCCCTCGTTGTCGGAGTCGCCCTTCTTCTTGCCGAAGTTACCGAAGAAGGAAGTGCGGCGGCTGTTCTTGGGGGTCTCAGCAGCAGCAGGAGAGACGGCAGGAGTGGCGTCCTTGGCAGCTTGGGCGTCAGCAGCAGCAGTCACAGTCTCGGGCTCAATGGGCTTGACGTTGGCCTCCTCGACAGGGTTTTCGAGCTGAGGAGCACTGCTGGCAACGGGGGTCTCAATGGGAGCGGGAGCGGCAGCCTCCTTCTCCGACTTCTCGTGAGAGGGGCTGGTGACCTTCTGGAAGAAGTTGCCGAAAAGAGAAGCGCGCTTGGACCTCTGGGCAACAGGAGCCTCGGCCTTCTTCTCCTCCTCCTCCTTCTTGTCACTGGTCTCAGCAGGAGCGGGGGTGGCGGGGGCGGGGGCTTTCGCGAAGTTAGTCAGAAGTAGATGACTTGGAGATCGTGGGGGACATACCCTCAGCTTCCTCCACGGCAGCAGCAGGGGCCGCCTCAGTGGTCTCGACAGGGGCCTCAGCGGGGGTCTCGGCGGCGGGCTCGGCGGCCTTGGCCTCCTCAGACTTCTCTTCCTTCTGCTCCTCCTTCTTCTCCTCGGTCTCCTCCTTCTTGCCCAAGAGGGTTCCGAAGATGCTAGCGCGCTTGCGAGACTGGGAGCGGCTCTTGGCGGTAGCCTTCTCGTGGTTGGGCTCCTCAGCAGGAGCAGCCTCCTCCTTGGGCTCGGCAGCCTTCTTGACAGGCTCAGCAACAGCAGGCTTGTCTAGAGAACGTTAGTCGATGAAGCTCTCTTGTTCCGTGGCGCAAGACTTACTCAGCTTCTCCAGCTCAGCCTTGTAGCCCTCGCTAGCGACGATAGTCTCCTTCTCAGCCTTGGCCTCGGCAGCCTTGGTCTCGAGAGCGAGCACCCAGCCGTCACGCTCAGCGCTGCTGGCAGCCTGGAAGGTGTGCTTGTGGCCGTTGACCTTGAAGTGGAACTCGCTGGCACCCTCCTTGGCGATATCGGAGACCTCGGACTGTGGACTCAGTCAGCATCACCACTCAAATATCTTAGACCGCCTATTTCCAAGCACTGACCAGGTTGAAGATACCAGCAGGAGTAGCCTTATCCTCGGCGCGCTTGGTCAAGAAAAGAAGACCCTTGCCGGTCTGGCTAGCCCAAGCAGCGATGGGGTTGGCGACAGCAGGCTTCTCGTTCTGGTGGAAGGCGGACAGCTGCTTGGCCTCGACGGCGTCATCGTGGAAGTAGAAGAAGCGCTTAGCAAAACGCAGACCCCTGTTGTGAAACCCACGATTAGTCACTGCATGCGAACCTCACAATGCGACAAGGGGCGCTTTACTTGACCAGACCGGGAGCCTTGTAACCAAGGACACCCTCCTCAGCGGGGGTCACCTCCTCCTTCTTGGGCTCCTCCTTGACCTCCTCAGCGGGGGCATCAGCCTTGGGCTCCTCAGCAGCAGCAGCAGGGGTAGCCTCAGCAGCTTCAGCGGGGGTCTCCTTGGGGGCCTCGACAGCGGCAGTCTCGGTGGCAGCGACCTCCGGGACGGCAGGCGCTTCGGTGACAGGAGCAACGACAGGCGCAGCAGTCTCCTCGACGGGCTTCTGAACTTCAGACATGATGATATTTGGGGATAGATTGATTAAAGGTGTAATTATAGTCGATAGTGATGGATTAGCTAAGGGTTGTAGAAGCTGGTGTGGCTTCGAAGATTAGTTTGCGCGTTGAGCTGAAGAGGGGTATCGTTTAGAGAAGGGGGGGTATCTTGAAGGAAAAGAAACAAGAGCTCTGTTTAGCGCAAAGCTAGAGAGCTTGGGTATCACAATGAAGGAGAAAGGGTAAAGTTCGGGAGAGAAGAGAAAGACCTCTTTTGAGTTGGATTAGAATGAGTATATGGAGAGAGGAAGAGGAGAAGAAGAGAAGAAAGAAAGAAGAAAAGAAGAAGGAAGAGAATTTCAAAGGCCAGGAAACGAGGAGAGGGTACTAGAAGAACAAGTGAACTGAACTGAACTGGAACTAGCCTGTCTACAGGCTGGAAGGAGCAGGGGCGAGAAAGGAGGAGCTGGAGGGAGGGTGAGAGCCTGAGAGGGCGGAAAATGAAAGGGTGTGGAAGTTGAGCAGGCCTGGTCACTTCCCAATTAGGCAGGGAGCTGCAGGGCGGACGGCCCTCGAGGCTAGATTTGAAAGGAGAGTGGAGCATTTCCTTTTCTTTTCTTTTTTTTTTTTTTTTTAAGGTAGGTATTTTTTGATTGTTTTTTCTTTGCCTACTATGAGCATCGACTACTTACGACTAACCATAGTCTGAATTAACCATGGCGAGTACTTGCGACTACGAGTACGATTCAAAGTACCTTAGTAGTGAGTCCTGACTCATTCACTCGCCAGCTAATTGCCTATCTTACCTATCTACTATACTCAAATCAGGGGGGTTTGTTGTATTGCCCCATCGCGTTGACCGACCCATCATCAACATCAACATCATCAGACCATAAACTAAACTAAATAAACATCAACCACATACATTTTTACCTCTGCCACAGGTGCAGTACAGTACATACGACACCTACATGCTGCAGCTCTTGATTTTTTTTTTTCTTTTTGACATCCACATACTTATACATCACGATCGGAATCTCACCATGCAGCATGCCCGGATCCTGCAGACTGGAAGCTGCCTCCGACGCCAGCCCAGCACGTCCTGTTGGACAGTACACGATCCGGTCTGACTGCCAATCGTCACGATGATAGACGAAAAGTCCAAGCTCCTTTCTTTCTCCCCCCTCCCCCCTCCCCCTTCGCCCCTCCTCTCCCTCCTCCCTGGCCATGGTCATGGCCTGTTAATTAGGTCCGAAGTATAAAACCCGTCCTAGCATAGTCCGTCCCCTTAAGGCTTGAGACTTAAGAAGCGAAAAAGAGAAAATTTTTTCTTCTTTTTCCCGCGACGCAGGCCCTCTTGCGCGCCGAACGAAAATTCATCGGCCCAATAAATAGGGTAATAAGAATCAAGGCCCTTGAAAAGGGCCCCTCTCTCACCAACGAATATTCAAATCCTCCCTCCCCTTCACAACCCCCCCTCCCCCTATGAGGTCAAGGGCTTGCTGAAACCGTGGTGAAATCCGATCTTCAAGACAAGTCCCCCTACCAAAAAGAAAAGGAAAAAAAAAAAAAAAAAAAACACCTCCTGATGACAAGGCCCTGGGAATGGAAGGTCTTGCCGTGGGACGCGGTTCGCCCTTTGGTGGTTGTAGGGTTTCTTGGCACTGGGCTCTTCCTTTACCGGTCGTGCAGATGGTTTTCAACGGCGCTTGGGAGGATCAACAACGAGGGGTCAATCTTCTTACTATACAGTTCCTTAGAATCAATACAATAGATTGATTATGCTCCGTAGGGGGGGGGGGGGATTTACTTAGTTGCCACACCCACCGCCATTCTTTCTGAAATCCAAACCACATTGATGGATGATTATGATTGTTGTTCAGGTGAAGTAGTTGGTGGTGTCACCCGGTCACCGTGTTTGTGGGACCCAACCTCCGTCCATTCGGTTTCCATCCATCCAAACCCCAAACCTCCTATTCAGAATTACCAGATCGTCCTGGTGGGTTTAGCTTCCAAGGCTGGTCCGTTACACAACCATGGGTCAGAAGCAGATGGGTTCCAGCCAGAGTGGCTTCTTGTTGTTTATTCTCGAGACTAACCTACTCGCTAGTTAGTCTATGACTCCTCCTTCGTTCCAGGCAGAGACAAGAGACCGGCTTCCATACTGCAATCTGAACCTCAGTCACTTGATTTGGATGTTTGCCGCTGCTTGCAAGTTGGCGCGGCGGCTGGCGATGGCTGCCAAAACTGAATCGCACTGCATCGCAATGAATCGCGACTATTGATGTTTCACATATAGCAGAAGGTCGGTCGGGAACAGATACGTACTTAGTACCTTACTTCTATGTAAACTCCTGCCCAACCGATCCACTTAGATCTCGACTTTCCAGAGGGAAACTCCCCCCCCCCCCCTCCGGCAGCAAAGAGAATCAAACCATGATGAAGGAAATATGTTAAGCGCCGCGCTAGTCTGAATAGTGAGTTAGGTAACCTTAGTTCCCCCCTCCAACGCTCGGTTACCCGCCCGCTGTTTTTGGCGAGCATCTTCATGTTGTTGTTGTCGTTGTTGTCGTCTTCCTTTTCACTATCGTCGTCATTTCTGTGCTACATTAATGTGTTCATGCTGGACGGGACTCTGATTTGCTTTGCTTGGGAACCCGAATATCTTCTTCCGCTAAACCGACCACACCCGGCAGGTTCTCAGCCAGTCCCGTCCATGCGACCGGAATGCCTCGTGACAGCCCAGCATTGTTCAAGATTGTAGGACCAACCAGCGGGAAAGGAGCCCCTCCATCTTTTTTTGCAACCTTTTCCCACCTTGCCTGATCTTTTTTATCAACCCTATCGGCGCCGCTGACTCGCCGGGAGAGAAAGAGAGAAAGATATTCGAGTCCTGGGGCTCGCGTGACTGAACTCCCGGAAATCAATTCGCCAAAATATGGTCGGAGGGGAGTATTCCGCCGCCTATTGAGCGGAAAGGAAGACAAAAAGTTGAGGTTATTCTACTTGATTCATCTAGTTCGTTCGATTCAATCTGGCGATACTAGGCGATAACGTAGAAGTCACTGGGCAGCAGATGAAACGAACCTACCCAACAAAACTTCTGCCACCTTTTTTTTCCGGCTGTCCCCGTGCTCAACGAGACAAGGAAAATAATTGGGAAAGGGAGAAGGTCCCTACTCCCTAGAGGGGGGCGTAAAAGGTTATTGAATAGCATCTCCTTGGGACCATGAGTTCATACTTCTTACTTAGGAGGGTTAAAAGTGGATAGGATATTGGTTATTAGCTCCAGCGCCAGAGCTGGAAGGCTGCAGCCCCACTCTCATCATCCCCTGTCTCACGAGTCGCGACTTTGCAGTATGTGCTTTGCATCGTGAATGATGATCCTGTCTTTCCGTCCTGCTGCTGTGGTCTAGCAAGGCAGTGGCAGCAGAGAAGCGGAAGAATATCCCCAATAAGATAGAGCTCATACTTCGTCCGTTGATTTGGATGGACGGTCCGTACCATGGAAGTTCTCCGAGATGACATTTGCACAGTAAGTCATATACAGATTTGCGGCTCGCGGGATCTGCTCCAAGCAACCACTATTCGGGAAAACATGATCAACAATAATCCATGATAGAAGGGCACGTCGTCGCCAATCCTTCTACATGGTAATCAATTCCCTCTTCAAGTTGATTCTACTCCATGGCCTCTGATATACTCGAGTACAGAATACAACCAAGTTTGTAAGAAGGGTTATCGCAGTGGGCCAATTCGCCCGCTTCCCTCATTCTCCCCCTTTTTCTCCCTGACTACGACGTACTAGTTAACTAGTCTAGCCAAATTTTCCATTCTACGGTCTTCCCTCCCGGCCGTTTCAGACGACCAGCAGCAAGCAAGCCGTGAAGCGAACCAACCAACAGAAGCTGATGAGCTTCCATCCCCGACCGTCCACCAATCAGGCCACCGTCGATCTGATGATCAATGGCTTGGCCCGTGTTGAACCGCCGTCTTGCTTGCTGATTCAGACAAATCCCACTGTCTGACTTTTCGCTGGACAGAACGGACATCTTGTCCATGTCGGCATCTCCATATAGTACGATGTTGTATAGTGGGAAAGTTAGGAAACAAAAATCAGCAAGCGGTGGACCACTTTGTCGACTCGTAATTTCGCTGCCAAGTCGTCAAGGTCAAAGGCACCGGTCAGGTGTATCGCGTTGATATACTCGAGAGTAGCCTGCGACTCCCACTCCCCAAGAACTTGATGTGTGACCTCGTCGAACACATAGTTATAGCCGTGGATGGTCCATTGGCCGCGGAAATTGGTGGCGCTGCCGGATATCGTACCTTCCACGGCGGGCATCTAGATAGAAGATTAGAACATGACTACGGAGTAGGAGGGAAGCGAATAACTTGGAGTGTTCCATACTTTGACACTCGAAAGAAGCGTTTGCTGGAAGGATGCGGAGGAAAAGGGGCGGATAGATTATTTGTTTACAGTACTATATTATATCCCATGAAATGACAACCCTACCCACTAACTAGCCCATCATCGTCGCTCTACATCATACCCGACAATCATCACCACTTCTAATTTACTTCTGCTAGTTCCTCGCTGGATCATCCCCGACTATCAAAAACGTGACCACTTCTAGCTTCTGCCTACTGAGTAATTGCTCATACACATGAATGAGTGCCCGAGTGCCTTCAGAACACAAATATGGCAGCTCTTTACTTAGTATGACCGCCTTGAGTTCCTCACACCTCCACCGCTTCCTCCAACTATACAAGATTTGAGCAATCGCCAATCATGAGTGATGATAAACCCAGCAAAACCCAGATTATCATCCCGCTCCACTGATTATGTTTCTACGTACTGAGTAGCACGAAATCAACCAACATCGATGTCCACGATCGTCGTAAACAGACCAAAAACTGAAATCACTTTCCGCCCCAATATAGGCCTCCACCGGCCTCAACGCCACCTGCAGCCGCCCCCCCCCCCTCCTCTTCCTTCCTCTCACCTGACATCGAAACGGTGGACTTTGCTTATCGAGGTTAGTATATTAATATAAAAATGGGCGGTTGGCTTTTCAGCCCCCCGCGGGTGCTAATTTGCACTACAGAGGAGCTACGGAGCTAGTCTACGTAACAATCTACCTGCTCATTGAACAAGAGTCTCAAATATACAAGTTACGCTGCCTGCTACTGCACGGCGATGTCGAATTGAGACAACTGACCCTTAGCATGGAGGGTCACCCTGTTCGGGGGCTTACCGGGTCATGGTTATCACCGTTGCTGATCAGCGCTAGATCCTTGCCATGGCACAATTTATCTCCGCACGGACATGATGAATCATACTGCAAGTCCAGTCGGAACATGATCATATTGTTCGTTGCTTCCCAGGGCCCTTTCAACCTCCTGCGATGGTGATCTCGGCAGTGTGGAAAGGACCAGAGTAAAAACATTACCTACTATACATAACGACCTACCAACCCTACATTCTATTCCGTTGGCAGGAAGTGATCTCCAGACGATGCAGTGACTACTGCCATTAGCTAACCACCAGGTACAGTACAGTACCATTATCAGAACCCAGAACCATAGCTCAATCCTGGAGATCTTGCATCTTCAGCTACTGTATCTCAAGACAGTGAGTGTCATGTACCTTCAGTATGTGGCCCACCTCACGTGATCGGCATCCCTCCCACTCCCCAAATAACCTCCACAACCCCAACGCAGTTCAACACGTACATAAACAGAGACAGATGACTCGAAGATACTGGATACATCCTCACCCAACCCCCAACCCCCAACCCACCCCGCCATAGACAAAGTGGAGACAAAGAAGAAACAAGAGGGGCTGACATTGGGGCCAGGCTAAACCCGGCGCCGCGGGCAAACCCACTGCAAGTCGCATGACGTGCCCTTATCACGCCATATAACCTACCATATGCCAAACCATGCACAGCACTTATCCCATGCACTCGGTAGATCCCCCGCCACGGACCCGAGGCTCTTCCTACAGATAGGCAATAGGCACATCCTCAGGTTCGTAGCGCAATGAACTCTAAGATGGTATCACTTGTCACCACCTGACGAGGTGGCGAATTCTGCTCGCGGGAGGGGAGCCTGCATTCAGATCCTGTGATGGCCATTAGGTCAGCCTGATCTACGCAATTATTGATCTAGTGTGTGAATTGGTCATGTGGGTTTAGATGGCTTGCACATCTGATTAGAGTGGTGTTGAGGGAGACTAGTGGAGGATGGGAAAATGCCGGTTACTATATTACTTTAGTTCATTAGATGATTAAGGAAGGGCGTGTACAGTATGTGGTGCTGGTATCCAGCCTTGTGTTCTTTTGCTTCATAGACGCAAGATCCCTTCCCCATGCTCAACAGAAGATTCCATAGTCGATAGCGCCGTGGAGCAGACTTGCTCTTGCCCAGTAAGTAAGTCGTAGTTCTTGAATGCAGGTGCAGCGCAGACCGCAGAGGCCATCAATGATCTAGATCATCAGCAAACCCCTAACTGCCCCTACTAAGGCACCTACTGTATACATCGTCCCCTACAACCCCCCCTCCCTTCACAACAAATCAACACACAACCCCAAAATTTAACTCAGCAAAAACAAACATATCAAGCAATACAATCCTCTCATTCATATTCATATTCATATTCAAATCCAGAGAAAGAAATACAACCTCATCCCAACAGAAACGAGAGTATATTCTCACGAAAATCTAAGCCTCGACCACCAGAAAATCCTCCTCCACCACCTCCTCATCATCTACCCAATTTACCCCTCTCCCCAACCCAAACCCACGACTACTCAGCACCAACCCTTTAAGCCCGGCCAACACCCCCAGAATCCCCTGGCGATCCACAACCTCATCGAGCGCCCCCCCGACGGGCAACACCCACCCGCCGTGGCCCGAATCCCACCGGTAGAACTGCACCGTCACCGGCAGCCGAGGCAGCACCACGGCGCCGACGATGGGCCCCGCCGACGACGACAGGAGCCGGGCCGGGTGGTGCTGGTAGTAGTGGTCGTGGTCGTGGTCGTGGCCGTGCTCGTGGTGTGTGGCCAGGAAATCCCGGAGAACGAGCACGTGGTGGCCTGGGTGCGCGCGCGGGCGTCGCAGCGCACCGGTGACGAGGGTGAAGATGATGGTCCCCTTGCCGCTGCTGCTGCCGTCCCTGCCGACTGCGTGCTCGGCTGCTTCTGCTTCTGCTTCAGCGTCGGGTTCGCGCGCGGGCTTACAGAACGTCACGGTGATGCGGTTGTAGGACTCGCGCATCGGGGAGAGGATCCCGGCTTCTAGGTCTACAGTGAAGCCTGCCGCGGGGGGGAAGAGATCGGTGAGGGCATCATACCAGTGGCTGGTGGACTCGAGGGCCTGGGAGCGTCCGTAGGCTGGGTCGTTGGGGACGCTCATTTTGATGGTTGATGCTATATATGGTTAGTCGGGGGTCCTTTTCCTGGTGATAATTAGTGAAATCTTGGGTTTGGTCAAGTTTTCTGAGGTTTAGTGGTTCAGTCGAGGTGGTGGGATAGGGTTAGAGGTAGCAGATTTCTTGGTTATCATGGCGGACTTTATAGGCTTTTGAGGTTGGTGAAACCGTAGGGATTGGAGGCTTAGTGGAGGGTTTCTCGAGCAGTATGCAAACGGAGATCAATATGGAGAATTTCCTCAAACTGCCTGGGTGTTCAAGACTGTGAGCGAACAGAAAGCAAGTCCCCATGTTCTGGCATCTGATATCCAAGGAACTCCTGGACATAGTCGCTAGTTGCGACTGCAATCGATTCTGGACAAAGAGTTGCATGTCGGTCAACTCCGTATGCCACAGAGGTTATATGTCAACCTCCGTATTGGAACTGAGCATTTTCGAAGATCGTCGCCGTAGCTTTTGTGCTTCCGCAACAGAAAGCCTGTCTTTCTTTAGAATGTGCTGCACACCTTTTCTGAAGGATGAGAAAGGGGAGGAGGAAGCATAGTCTTCACTGAAGCTGCATGGAGAATATTTCAAGTGATGCCAAGCAGCCGCTACATCAAATAAGCTATGCTTTGAGGCTCAGAACTTGATCTCGTAAGAAATCCTATCGGCCGCTTAGCAACCATCAAGTCCGGAGGATAATCATAGGCAACTAGGTAGTCGGCCAAGCTATGCGCCCGTCCAGGTCATTAACAACAGCCGACACACATACATACACTCGCTTCAATCATTATACAATATGTAATAAGAAAGTCAACCACCAACATGCTATGCAAAACAAATATACCAAAACAAGCCACTATAGGCAAAAACAGCCAGCACTACCAAGTGCCAGTCGAAACAGCTATCAAGCCGCTGTTGTGAGAACGTAACTAGAGGAATCATGTCAGTCAGAAAGCACAATGCCGTGTACAGGAATGAGGGAATGCTCACGATGTAATACTGTCCATCCGCTCCGTAGTCAGTTTCAGACTGACCGTCAGAAGCTCCCTTGCAATTTCCGGCTCGTTTTCGCGCAGCTCCTGCCATCTCTCCATGTTCAAACACCAACTCACGCAGTCCTGTTCGGCCTTCACGGTCGCTGTCCGGCGGGTCTCGCTGAAGAAGGGCAGCTCGCCGCACGGTCGTCCAGCCACAATGATTTCAAAGTATCGTCCCTGCGGTAGTTCGTACTCGGCACGAAGCATCCCGGACTCCAGAAGATAGAATCCCATCGGAATATCGCCTTCACGGAACAGGACCGTGCCTGCCGCGTAGCTTTCTCGCACGAAATAGGCGCACACTGGAAACCAGAAATCCTCGTTTCGGGAGGTAATGCCCTGGAAGGTCTGGAGGAGCAGCGGAAGCGGCTGACGCATGGCAGACCATGCTGCTGGTGCGACTACCGCGACTTCGTCTTCACGGAGGGTGCTCCTTGCGGCTTGCTGTAGGTATCGCTGGCGGGGAGAACTGACCATCGTGTCACCCAGGTGGGATGGTGCTTGCGAGGTAGGGACTTCCAGGAAGCTTGTAGCTGTTCGGTGCTGTCTTCTCAATAATGCCTCCCTGTGGCTGTAGAACACTTTGAGATAGTCATTCTCACAAAATTCGAGCGCCGAGTTCAAATCCTCGAAAATTTCCACCCCTGTCACAGCCTCGAATAAGCCCACGTTCTGAAGACTACGTCCCACCTCTCCTTCCACGTCGAGACCGGAAATGGTCATTTGAACGTTGCGCTTGCTAAGAATACGGTTGATGCGGGTGAATGCCTCGGCCGCAGAGAAGTCGATGCCATAAACTCTGGAGAAGTCAAGAATCAGGAATCGGATGGGCCGTCGGTTGAATGCCTCTTCCTCAATCAATCCTCTCATCGTGTTTTCAACGCTCACGATGGTACCGAAGAAGAGATATCCGCCAAGTTTGATGATAAGGGTCTGCTGCCCGGCTTCCTTGAGAAACCGCTGCTGAATAGGAGGACGTCTGACTGTAGACCCTGTAATCCCGCCCGAGAAAGTCGCACGGATAGCAGACTTGCGAGAAGTCTGCACAACAAAGCTTAGACAGGCGAGAATGATACCAACAAGAATGCCAACAACAAAATCCCAGGCGCCCATAGTTGCAACGATGATGACAACCTACGAAATTAGCCAATGCCGTTATCAACTGAAGTTAGAGCTTACCGTGATATATTCATGCCGATGCAATTTCCCCCATGTGTCCACCAAGGCCTCTTGCATCAGCTCAATTCCCAGCAGGAAAATGAGAGCACCGACAACCATGACCGGAATAAAGCCGACAATCGCCGGACCGACGACAAGAATACCAGCCGTCGCAGCCGCGAGCATGATACCTGCTAAACGGGAGTTGCCACCACTGTCAATGAACAACAGACTGTTAGTATATACAAGGTAGTTCTATGAATGTCAGTACATCTTCCCGCAAGCAAGCTGTTAGGTGTAGTACCTGTATGCTGCCTGAGAAGCCGGACAGGGCGTTGGTGACGCCATGCGCGATGAGCTCACGGTCCACATTGAGATTATCCTCGCCCGTCGATATGCCCAGGGCAGGCACATTGATGGGTACATGCAGGACGCCGAAGAAAGTGAGCGCGAACATAGCTGGAATCGTGTCGACGAACGCGGCCCAGTCAACAGCAGAAAAGTCTATGAATAGTTAGAAGGTCACCGCTGTCACGAAAATCCTTTCACATACCATAAAGGGTATAGAAGTGATACCACGGATTTGAAGAGGACGGCGCATCGAAGACCCATCCTTTGTTGCGCAGAGTGCCCATAGAGACCCCAGCGCTGAGAACAACAATATAAAATATGACAGCCACGCAAATAAAATAGCCACCAAGAAGGAAATTAGAATGCAGAAAACGCTTCAAAACAAGCAAGCCGACCGCAAGGAACAAGGGCACCGTCCAAAGAAATACTGTGTCCAATTGCACCAACTTCTCCATTGTTGCCAAGGTGAACTCGAAGGATCCAGGTAGTCGAGCTGATACTTCGACACCGGTCAACAAGAGGAAAAAGCCCACACCGCCAATGCATCCAATAAGGATATGCCGCGGGAAGAACCCGATCAAGGCTCCTAGCTTGCAAGTCCCCATAAGGAAGAAAACAAGGCCCGTCAGAATCGAACTGACCGAGAACGCCAGAATAGTGGTAGCTAGGACTGACTTCGGGTTATCCGCTCCAACTCGATTCAAGATCGTGAAAGCCATCTGGTGAAAGAAAGGCACAACCTCGATCATCTCACTGCCGATACCGCCACGGAAGATGGAACCCCCGCAAGAGAAAACGAGCTGAGCAATGATCGTGCTCACGTAGAACATAGAGATACCGTCCGATCCAAGGTCAGAGAACATCGGCTCACCCAATGGGAAGAGGATCATTCCATAAGATAAAGCATCCAGTATGTTGAGCAACAGACCGAGGAATACCGACGGCAACAGACTGAGGGGATAAACGACCCCCTCGCGCCATACGGCCTGTTTGTCCCACGATTTCGGGTTGGCTATGAGTCGGAAACAAGTAGTGACACTCGAGAAGGCACTGGAGAAAGCGCTCGGTCCCTTCGTTCCCGCATATCCCTGGTTTTCAATATCACCTGTAGCGCCGTAGCCTTGATATGGCTTTGGGTGTGACGGCTTAGATAACAATGAGGTTTGCTCTGTGCTCACAGTCTCTCCAGCTGTGACGACCGGAAGCTCGTCTCGAGAGACGGTACTGTCACTTGCCCTCTCCCACTCTTCAGAGTGGTACTGCTCAGTCTGGCTTGATTCCGGGATATCAGGGTGTCGGATCAGTTGTGTCAGCACCGAGGAGCCGGTCGTCGGAATGGAGGAAGGGCCAGCCTCAAGATGAACCCTTGCTGCAGCCGTTGCAACTGGAGTCGGGGTCGAAGAAAGCGACGATTCGCGAGGGGGACGGAAGACGTCGAGTGACGAGGGAAGTGTGTTCGATTCACGCGACAAGGCGAAAGATGCCAGTTCGGCAGTTTGTTCTCGCATACCATGGGACGAATAATGAGCCGGATCTAGGCCAAACAGTCAGCACTGCATCATTGTATTGTGACGACACAGCGGGGTTATGTTTGGGGGACGAGAGTCGATTACATGAGCGGCGTACCTGCAGAGTTATGAAATGACCGATGGAAGAAAGACCTGCTCGGAGTCCGATAACTGGTGCCGCCGGACACGGTTGGATCTAATACTGAGGACCGTGGAGGGCTCCCATTGTGGGCATGCTCAACTGGAATCTCCATTCCGGCTGGCTCCAAGTCGTCATTGAGGGCGGAATGATGCGAAGGCATCCCCGCGCCGCGGAGGTCGCTACCACTGTTGCACGATCGCAAGACTCCCATGACGGATGGTGTGGCAGAGGATAAGCCTACCACAAGTCCCAAGTGCCGAAGTCACGGTGGGAATTGCAAGAGCTGATCAAATCTGATTCAGCCCGCAGGCTTGCAGGCTCGTGGACGAGATCTGAGGACAGGAGCCGAAAGTGCAGAGATGATACCGGATGACGCAAGAACTCAGAAGAAGCAACAACCATAGACATTGCTCCACGATTGGCCGACTGAATGAGGAGAAGAAGGAAAAACAGACGATTATGATATGGGAGGCGTTTAATGAAAGGTCTAGAGGGATCAAAAGAGCGATTCAATCCGGTCCAGGCATGACTGGCCGTTGTTATCAGCTAGGTGGGTGAAAGTGACTAAAAAGTCTTATCACGGGCGGATTATCACCGATCCACTTCTCGGACATGGGAGACGCGATAGATGGGGACCTGGATGGCGAAAGCTGTTCTGGATGGCCACAGAGCATTGGCCTTGCTAGCGAGCTAAATTGGTGTGCAGGGATAGAGGGCGCCGTCAGAATAAGTGCGACAGTAGCTGCAGTAATGGGTGTGGGAAGGCAAGAACTTCAATCCTCGGCGAAGCTGCATGGCCGCATCCAGTCCGATGATAGGGCCGACCTGTTAGGTAAGCGGCCGTTGCAACGGCGATGTTCGTGTCCAGCGCTGCCGAAGACGGATCCCTAGTCTAGATTATCTTCGACGTAACATACGATCTAGACATGGGCTAGATCGACTACTAACTAATTCAGTAGACCTCGCAGTTCTGATGTGTCAAAAAATCCTTCTCATTGCCCCGCTAATTCACTTGAATTCGACTTCGCTCAGCGTGGCCCCCATGCCACTGTCTGCGCTCTTGTAAATTACTCTCAACAAACTAAATGGGTATCATCATGTAACACAGAAACAGCAGCTAGAGCAGCAAGAAGCAGCATCGGGGGATAATCCACAGCATTACTGCCGGGCCACGGAGGCACAGCAATCTATCCCAACCGTTCCAGAAAGCCCTGTGCAATTAATCGTTCCACATCCCCTTGTCGTACGTAGAGCTGACTGTTTTTCGTCAAATTGATCACCCTGTGTGCGCATTGTTAGCAGTCGACCGTTAACAGGAGTTTTATTTCCATCAGAACAAGAAGAGACCGCTCAGAAGGATCTGAACATACCCATATTCCGTCTGAATTTCCCCTGCATCCTTCAAGACTCGCACATCGATGAACAAATCTTTGGGTGGCTCCAAGCTTCCAGTGAGATCAATGTCCGTCCATTGCCCCTTGTACGCGGCGAGCAGGTCACTGTATTGTCGAAAATACTCTTCTTCCTCCGGGCTCAGCGAGCTGTGATTCATGCCCGAGCCAGCCCCCTGGCCTTGTGCTGCCGCCGCGGCGGCAGCAGCAGCTCCCGCACTGGCCTCCTCCGCCACGGGCAATTGCTGTTCTAGCACATCCACGCCCGTCCAACAGAGCTCTTCTAGTTTTTCCGTGCGGACCCGATGATAGGCGAGAAGACACCGCTTGTTGCGACGCATACAGAGATGGTCGACGAGGAGGGCGCAGGCAATAGCGGGCTCTTGGGACGGATTGAAGCTGCCTTCGAAGGGAGTTAGCAGGCGTGCAACATCGCGGTCCAGATCGCGGACCTCGCGGGCGACGGCGCGAACGAGTTCGGTTTGATAGGGTGGCAGATGGGTTAAAGCCTGGGTGCGTTTGGCGTGTTGAACCTGGAGATGACCCGGGTTAGGCCAGATCGTAGGTGGAATCCAATGACTGGATGGAGACAAACCAGTTTATTACCCAGTTCGCCATACATGTTCGACATGGCGGGCAGTAGATGTAGCTGTAAATCGAAGGTATGCAAACGCGGGGATGCGAAAGTATCCTCCCACGCGGATCGCTGCTGGGACGTGCGAGTCTGAAGCTGATTTTTAATGGACAAGAAGATCCAGAGTTCGGAAAGGGTTGCTGGGCGTGTCTATCTCATCAACTACTAAGGCAGTCCCTTGATTGAGCTTGAAATAAGCTTTGCGATGAACATGCAGACGGACGGAGACGTGAGTCTCACGCAGGATTGATCGCCTGTCGCCGTGTCGCTTTGACCCTCTACCGATCGGATATCTCCACGTGACAGGGCGCGTATCGGTCACGCCGAATTGGAGTCATCCAACGAAATTTACTGATAAAAGGTACTGGTTCATCTACGCATGTACTAAGAAATTAGCGAACTTGTTAGGCTTGCTCTGATTCAAACAGCTTGAAGTACATCTGGTCATGTAAATTGCCAACTATTCTAATTCATTGTAGAAAACCAGTGCACACATATTTACCATCACAAGATATCAGAACATATTGATCAAACGAGACTGCCACTCAGAAGCAAGGCCATGAAGCTTCGAATACGCCAGCCAAATGTGACTCAATAACCCTGACAGGGCATTTGCTTGAAACCAACAAGAAAATCAAAGATTCAAATAGACAAGTCCCAAGCCACCATGTATATCAGCGCCCCGAAACTCCGAACAACAACTCTGGTTTCAAACAGATATCCACCGCGCTGAGAAACAGGACAAGAACTCATCTCGACCCTTTGGTATCATGACGTTAACAGAATCCTCACGCTTTAGGGTGAGTTGAACATGGATCTCAGTATGACATCCAGGAATTGAGGTCGCCAGCTGAGCCCTCCAATTTGGCATCATTAGGCGAATCCCATGTGCCGCGACCTTCTAGGTCTTGCATGTCGGATGCCGATGAGTAGTTTGAGCCCGCCTGATAGGCGACTGAGCTTGGTGGCATCGGAGTTGTCATGGGAACATAACCGTTGACTGTCGATGCATCAGGCCACAATGGCTGATGGACGCCATAGATCTGATTGGAACTCGGAAGCTCGTTTGGGAGGGTCAGAAGTTGGGGGTCTAGCTGACCGCTCCCCGGAGTAGAAGCAGAGCTGGCGGGCTGGAGGAGGTCGTGGTGAGACGCTCCTGGCAATCCTGCCAGAGAAGTTGATGAATTGTACGAGATGTCCTGGAAACTCGGCCGCTTGAACCGAAAGTCGCCCTGGTGAGACATGTAGCCCGATTGTGTCGAATGCATTAGGTACGGAGATGGGTCCGAGGAAGGCATATAGCCTGACATGGAACCCCGAGGTGCGTGCCAAGGTGAAGACGAAAGAAAATACGGCTCTGCTGCAGGCAAGCCGTGTTCCGCAAAGTCAAAGGGAGTGGAGTCACGGCTGCCCCATCCACTGCTCTCCACCTCTGACGAGCTCATGCCATGGCTTTGTAGCAGAGCTGGGCTGGAATCAGGAGTATTTGCCAAGTGACCATCATCGTCGACACCCGCCCGTTTCTTCTTATCCTTTGCCGGGGAGAACTTGTAGCCGGGATGTGCTTTTAGATGGTTGGCCTTCTCAACAGTCGCCAGATGCTCGTATTTCCCACGGATCTCTGCAGGCTCCAGTTTCCAGCTATCGCCGGCAGCCTCAGAGACCACCTGGTGGTTGTTCTGCGAGAACCATTCTTTTGCTCGCTCCGCAAATGCAGACCGGTAGAGCATGAAGGAGTTCATCGGCCGGGCAATCTTGCCATTTTTCTTTGCAACTTCCTGGCGACGAGTTTCCACGGAGCGATGCACCCAACTTTCCATGTCCTTGATTGGGATATGGGTCAAGTGCTTGGTCAACTCGCTCAACGGCTTGTCAACGTGAGGCCTGGACTCTCGGTCCTTCAACTTCCGGCCCTTGCGCCGCATTCTGGGAGGCCTGGCGACCCTTGGTCTAGGGGGCTGCCTCTGACTCTGAGGCGATGACCACTGCGGTGCCGAACTTAGGCTTCCAGGAACATGACAGTCGTCTGCTGTGGATGGTGGCGTGTCGATCTAAGAGGAATTAGTGATCAACGAAAGGGTAATCAAGCGGAGGGACGACCAACCGGATGTTGCAATGAGATGTTTCGCGGATATTCATTGGACACAAACTGTGAAGGAGGGGAAAGATAATTCTGAAGCCAGGTTAGTGCCTGCCCAGCGAGTATAAATTGTATAACTGTGAAACTTACAAATGATGCTGTGTCGTATTTCACCTCGCTTAAAACATGGTTTGTATGAAGGTCTGCAGCCGAGAAATGCTCATTCTGTCCGAAATTTGGCGAAAGTATACCATGGAAGTCTTGGTTGGCATCAGCCACCGTGTTCTGATCCGTCGATTCGGGCGGCGAGGGTGGCTGGCCACGAATGACTCTGGTAGCGCTAGCCATGAGAGGATTTAATGAGGCAAGGAATGGGAATTTGACTGAGTAGGGGGGGAAAGCCCAGCTCCAAGTCCGCCAGGGACCCACGCGGAATGTTTGATTGGAAGAGCTTGCAGGGGACGCTGGAGGAAGGAGAATAGGACCGTCTTTTCAGGTCTCAGAAAAGGGCGAGCTTGTGTGCTGCTCCGGTGGAATGAGTTGTGGGGAAAGTGGATGTTGATTATGCCTAATAGGCGGGCAAGGCGTAGTGAGGTGCAAGGGACGCCAGTCAGTTGTTTACTTCGTGTGGGGAGGGTTTCTGCATCTGAGAGCAAGTCTCGAACAGACTCGCATTTGACGGAAATCGTAAAGTGTCTTGAACACCAAGGAAATTGATAGATTGAGAGAGAGGGAAAGAGTTGAAGGGAGGAAGAAGGAGAACGGGAAGAAAAGAAGAGAAGAATAGAGATCAAATAAATAAAGCAAGTGGTCTTGTTGTGAATGAACTGAATAGTGGCGGGAGGAGGGGGAGGAGCGAATAGATGAATGAACAGTCAAAGACAACAATAGAAGGTCACGAAACACAAGCTGAATGAAAACAAGAATGAGGGAAGTTCTTGCAAGGATACAAGAAAGAAATCGTGGGAGGTGGATGAGAAAGAGAAGGACAAGTGAGAGTTTAGTGATTATCGATGATAATCTTAGTTCACCGTCAACTGGTTGTTGATGCACCACAAGAGACGGGTGGCGGATCACCGGGTAGTTACTTATACAAGCTGTCAGTGCAGGCTGTTTTGATTCCAGAGCAGAGTAAGGATAAGAAACACTGGGTGTGAAGAGGGGGAGGGGAGGGACAAGAGAGAGGAAAGTCGTGAGAAGTGGATATCAAGTGATTTAAAGCGGGATAGACATAAGGTGGAAGTTCTAGATGGGGAAGACAACCATGGGATCCCCAGCGGCTGAAACCCTGAGACTGCTTGAAGGTGCTGGCGACGACACTGTTCCAAACCCATGTTGGCACGGGGGTTTGCTTCTGGGATAGTGCTGTCTTTGTTCCAGTCTGCTGGGACTGAGAGAGACATGGATGCCTCTTCTCTGGGATTTCTCTTCCCTCCTGTTTTCACACCATGAGATTTGATTTGATTGCACGACTCATTGGTGTGCTGTCTCTCCCTCAACTGAATTTATTTCGGTTTTAATTCGACAGGATTGTTTTTATTTTATTTTATTTCATTCCTTTGCCCATTTTCATTATTTTAATGTGATAGTGATTTTTGATTGATGAGAATGCTTGAAGTTCTATTTTCTTCGCTCTCAATTGCCATGCATTATCTTTGTAGGCATTTACTTCTTTGTAGTCCTCTTCATGGGAAAAGACACAGAATTGTTGACTCCCTGAATGCAAGACAGATGATTATTTTGGGGATGGGACCCCAGGCAGTTCCCATCTTCTTCACACCTTCGGTTCAGTCTTCTCTCGTATTGCTTCTTTAAGGCATCTCTTTGTGCCAAAACTAGGTCCCCTCTTGACCTGGATGGAGGGGAGGGCGAGGGGAGTAGAGGGAGGGGTTGAGAGTTCTGAGATCGTGTCCGAGACAGGGAGGTTACTAAATGCGGCCCTGCATCTGACAGGAACGGTTGGGGATTTGCTATTGTTGCTTGTTACCGGCGGGCCATGGCTGCTGGACAGCAGTCATGTCCAATAACCAGGGCAAGTTGGCTGCTGGTATTGTGATTACAGAAAGATTCAAAGATTTCAAAAAGTCGATCGATTGTCACGACCAGCACTATGGCTGAACATTACTTACTATGGTAGTAACTCAGGCTGAAAATCAATTTGATGGGAGAAAAATAATAATTTGGAAATAAGGATCAAATCAAATGCGAAATTAAAATTGGAGAAGGCAATGACGATAGTGACAGTCTAACGTCCAGACAGGCAGGCTACTTGGCCCACCCATCGGCCATTAGTACGATCGACTCGGGTGGAGCAAGGTATGTACTGTACTATGTATCTCTATGAGGTCCATTCTGACTTTTGGAGCCCCACAGAAGGTGACATGCCGGAAGGTTGTGGGATGAATGGTACCTATGGTACCTACTATGTATGTCGTAGTCATCATTGCTGCCGCGCCTAATCGGGTAAAAGGTCCAGTCTGTGGAGCTGCGGGCTAGCCGGAGTGGATAGCTCGATCACTCTTCATGATACTGAAGAGTTGTTCCCTTCCTAGTTACAATACAGCTGCATAATTCAGCCAGCAAGAAGGAAAGAGGAGGGAAAGAAACAGTACAGGATGTCCATACATCGAACGGGCCAGAGGGAGATCTACATCTGCTCTTCGTAACATGCTAGTAGCCTAGTAGTGGCCACAGAGACTAACGGCGGAGACAGGCGGCGGAGTTTAAGTTACCGATCCGAAATTGATGGCTACTAGGAAGATGCACTTGTACATTCACAATCGTCCCATCTGGTCTGGACATTCTCTCTCACCCATACACACATACACACACTCTCTCTCCCTCCTTTCTTCATTCTCTATCTATCACTTGCCTCTTGATATCTCGATAAACGGCCTCGACCCAAAATCACCCCAAATAACCATGGAAGTGGGCTCGGATTGTCCGATGTGGAGCCCGTTACAATTAAAAAGTAGCTTCCCCAGACACTCTCCGTTCCTCAGCGTCATCATACCCAGTGGAAATTGTTGCCCGCACCGATACTGGACCCCGATGCGAAAAAGGCAGCACCCATGGATCCCCTAGTTCCCGGCTTCCCGACCATCATCAGATCATCTACCGGTTTGCGCATACTACCAGAATGGAGCTTTTTACTACGAGTTCTCTATGCCCGGGTCCAGCAACTCGCGCCCACTAATAGGGCTAGACATACAGAGATTATGGTATCAGGCCGCTCCAGACGGATCAGCGCCCATACAACCGTTCAGTCCTCCCAACATAATCGTGTCAGCTAGTCGATCATCCTTTCCTCTTGGCTCTTTTCGGCCGTACCGGGAGATCAGCCAAGCACACAAGATGGCCCATGGTCTAGGGCCGGCAAGCCATCTGCGGTGGTGTTCATTGAGCCATATATACGATATTGCTGGAATTAGACCTGGAGACCCGTTGGATGCAAATGTCACTCACTGCCCACCGGTCTACCTATCTACCTAACCGAGAGAGATCCGTAAGTCGGTCAAGTGATAGGGAGAAAACCAGTGGGAAAGCCGGACGCAAGTTGGGATCGGGTGCGAACAGTAAGAAAGTGCCAAGCCCAAACAGAACATAAATTACACCGTCTCCAGACGGAAAGCTTGGGTATATGATACCAACGCCAATAGTCCTGACCGGTCTCCTTTACCCCTTTTACAAGCCTTGTACGCGCCATTTTGGAGTATCTTGTCTACATGGAGGGACGTATTGACCCTCAAGGCAAAGCCTCTGAGTAGAGTTGACGGTGATGTACTCTGGATTTCACAATCGACCGTCGTTGGAGCACATACAACGCATGCTCTCATACTGATAGTTGACACAATACTCACTGAATACCACCCACCTCTCTTCCCAAACTGACATCCAGACATGGCACATTCAAGACCCATGGATACTGCCTTACGCCACGAGATACCAATTGGCGGAGCGATTGGAGGGTCTGAGTTAGCCGGACACTATACATTGGCTTCAGCTGACCATGGGTGACTGAATCGCACTAGCGTCATGTACTGAAAGGGTCTAGGACTCTAGGTGGAGGTAAGTATAGTAGTTAGTGCCTCGGCCGGGCAATGATCTCCGCATCAAGGCTGCATCGGGTGACGCCCGCCCGCCCGCCCACCTTTCTAGTTACATACCTAGACTGACAGCGAGTTGGATACTGAGTCCTCAACATCGCTTGCATGCAAATGCGATTTCTTTGGCGCGGGTTCGTGTCCTAGGCTGGATCTAGTCAATTTAGTGGGTGATGGTGGTGGTGGTGGTAGAGATAGGAGCATGATCAGCTCGTTCACTATCTACATCAGAGAGTGCTAGCTACATCTCAGAGGTTTCGGGGACCATTCGATAGAAAATCCTGAGTCATATACCATGACTACTGGCCAGGGGATTCAATGTATACCAAGTACGAATAGCTAACAGTGACGTGACAGCAGTACTGTAGTACGCAAGAAGCTGCTTGCATATCATTAGTCTGCTGAGGGCTTTCCTGCCAACACAATTTGGGACTGCACGCTGCATGAATTGCAGCTTGGCACAGTAGGGATTCCGGCGATCGCTTGTTCATCTTATGGTTCGCGAGCCAACTTGGCCTGGGTCCTTTCCTGCCAGTCGGATACGGGTCGGTCACGTGTCGCTGCCTTGGGGCTTTGTCTCTTAGGACCACAAACATACCGATCGACAGTGGTGGGCTTTTCATTCGCATCAACTCCCTGTCTCGATACGGCTCTGGGGCAATCTGGAGTCTTCAGTCTCTCAGGTTGTTACTGGCTACTGCTGTGTCGTCGTACCAACAACATGGTCAAAGACAGTAACGCAACCATGGGGGCATAACATGCTGCAGAGGGCCGGGCGCCCAGGTGGCTGTTACTACATCAACAGGTGCATTCAATTGCAAGCGAAATCAAGCCTAGTGCCTGGATTGGGATCGGCTGCAACCATAGATCATCGATCCCAACTGGGCAATCCCCGCTTTCACTAGCAACACAACTATACTCTTCTTGTCCCTGTCATGGCTTGGTCGGAGATATTCTATGGTACTGGCTTCAGCACCAAATGGTTCTAATACCGCCAAGGAGTAACTTGCTAACATGATCGACGACTATCCCGCACCGTGGGCTGAAAGTAGGTTCGATGGCCCTCTGACGATGCCTCAATGGCTTGCGCAGGAACCCAGACTCGTCCAGGGACCCAGAATTGCTCTGAGCAGGTTCTTTGTCCACAACCCGTCTTCGAGAACCCCAACCCTTCCCGGGCGCAGGAACATTGACAAGGACGTACCCTAGTCGATGAAAGTTTCCTCATTCCTTGTTCCCAGTAAACAA